ATATATATATATATATATATATATATATATATATATATATATATAAAATAAACTATAAATTAGATCACTTCTCTTATTAATTAGACATGTAGCATTAAGAATACTAGACTTCACAAGGGTTTCCAAAGGGAGTCCAACATGTAAGGAAGGGAAATGAGTCTGGCATGGAGCGCCCCCTGGAGGTTAGATGTTCACACATGACAGTTGAGAGATTTTTCATTACTTAAAATATTCTAACAATTTTAAGCACTGTACATGTAATCTTTGCTGTTTTGTTCAAATAAACTGTATATTTTACAGATTGATAACTTTCTAACAAATCTTTCATGAAAAAAAAAGTGTATGATGACCACTCCTTCCTTGTCACCAGTTCATTGTAATGTGTTAACTTGTTTATTCAACTTTGCTGTTCTTTTCCTTCTCCTAATATTATTTATTTTCCTGGTATGAATAATTAGTCTAACTTCTCTGAAGCTGGTAAAAATGTACCTAACACAAATTTGATTTTTTTTTTTTTTTTTTTTTTCGCATTTAAGAGCTTTATAATGTCAAAGATTTTTTATTAAACAGGATGTGTACATTCCATGTGTGTGGTAGCTGTGACTAAGGTGCTCTTTACCATGATGCAGGGGTGTCTTGCCTCCTTGAGGACGATCATCTCCTCCTCGATCAAACGGGTTGAGGCGAGTTTGACGGAAAAGTGCAAGTTTCTCATCATACTCCATTTCACTGGCTACATCTAACAGGGACAAAACACATTAGTCACAAACACGTTGCAGAAATTCTTTCGTTCCTCTGATATAAAGCTGGAAGAAATCCATTCCCTGCCTTTTAATGGAAGCTAGCAAGCTAATGCACCAGCTTGGTAAGTGAATAATGGATCCAGACTCCATTCAACAATTTCCTGCGGGATCAATAAAGTTTTATTTTATCTTAACTTATTTAAACATGTAGCTATCCAAGTGCTGTTTAACAACAGCATAACCCCAAAAGATGGGTTTGATAAAAAAAAATATATATCTGTTTAACAAATGCAAAAAAGTAAAAGAAATGCTGGCATTATGTACAGATCATTTCTGCTGCTATGCTGTCAAAGAAACCCTATAAGAGTCCAGCACTAATCTGGAAAATTAACACACTTTATTAAAAAGGGAGATCCATTTTTAATACTGCAAGATCAACATAGCAGGGGTCAGTTTGGTATCTCACTCCACATCTCTCAAAAAATATCAAAGCCCAAATAAATTATATAATCAGTCAGATACAAAAAGTTCTTTAGCAGTCCAGAAAATTGCATACATCTGCTAACAGGTTGAATGGGACTAATTTACTTAGCAATCATCGCCTAAACTCCATATATGATTTTAAACATTTTCATAAGAGTTGAAAACAATAGACATTGTAAATTAAAAAAAAAGTGGAATAATAAAAACAAGAAAGATGACATCAATCTGATCTTCTGAGAGCACTCAGCTTAAGGAGGCACTGTGTCAACATGTCATTTTTCTTTTTAATCACTAAAAGGGGAGGACAGGAGGTCAACGAGGAAAAGCTGTAAAATGTGGACAGTCTGAGAGATGCTAAGTGGAAGCCTCATCACACCAATTATAAAAAATAGTCCGACTTACTGATGAAGACTGTGCTCCTCTACAAACTGCGCCCACAGCAAATAAACTGAATACACTCTTACAATGAGCTTCAGCTATGCTCCACTGTCAACAACTAGCTAATGTTGCTAGCAGGCTAACAGATTCGAAACAATCTACCGGCGGCTGTTTCGATGCTAACATTAGCTAAAATAAAGCACAGCTCTATCCGGAAGCTCACTCACCGTATAAACACCAGACAACAAGCAGCTGTTGAATTTATTTTTTACAGACGAATATGCTTTAGGTGGACAGTCGTTCGTGTGTTGTTGTTTTTTTCTATCAGCAACGTCACAAGGCAGGAGTCAAGTTGATTATTTTAAAATTCTATTTCCGGTCTGTGGTAAAAATAAAAGCTTTTCATCACGTTATTAAAGTCAAGTATAGGTAATACAAAAGAGGAATCAAAGTAATAAACATAATGACAATATTTAATTAAAAGGAAAGTATTGTTTAAAACATGTTTCTGTTTTGTAGCTTTATAAAAACAAACAACTAATGTTTTACTTTGAAAAAGCAAATTACATGACTGAAAGATTCATTCAACCTTTATTTATTTTTTATTTTTTATTTTTTATACAGGTCAGGCTGGTCATGAGGACTCATTCTCAATAGGCCTGTTTTAGTCAGACAACATAAAAAGTACAGACAGTAATTCAACAAAAAACAATTAAAATTAAAGTAGTGATATAAAATCAGTCACATCAAGATACCATATAAAACAAGGTAAAATACTAAAAACAAGAACATATATTTGCTTAGATTTTTCTATTCATTCATTCATTCAACCTTTATTTAGACAGGTTAATCCCATTGAGCCTCAGGGACTCATTTACAAGAGAGACCTGATTTCTTAACAAAGAGTGATGACAACAGTGAATAACAATGATAACAATAGACAGTCACAAAAGAGGCATACAAAATTTTTTTTTTTTTTTTTTTTTTTAATTGACATTATCAAATTATCTATTATTATTATTATTATTATTATTATTATTATTATTATTATTATTATTATTATTATTATTATTATCATTATTATTATTATTATCTATTGACATTATCAAATGTTTAAAATCTCTTAAAGAAATCAAATTGGACAGTTTCAGCTCTTGTTGCAATGTGTTACAGGAACAGAGTAAGAAAAGGCCTTTTAGCCAAGTTCAGTCCACACTAAAGGAACGAGAGTTATCTTTCGATTACAGTGGTCCCTCGTTTGTCACGGGTGTTTGGGACCACGCCCACCCGCGATACATGAAAACACGCGAAGTAGGGATACAGTAGTTCAAGTTCAGTAAACTTTGTCATGACATGTGGCAGGCTGCAATCACACTCCTGTTACTCCCAATCTCCCTCCTTAAACAATTTAAATTTAAATACTGTAACATTTAAAATAAACAATTCATGCAGCATGGACTGGTTTAAAGCAGCAAAACAATCTGATTGAAGCTGATGATAAATATCTGCTTTGTCAAAGTGCACTATTTTGAAAGAAAGTAATGTTGACCATATTTGTGTAGATAAAACTTAGATAATTTTAGACTTTAACATTATACGTAGGTGTCTGGTCCTATGAGGTTTAATCTGAGATAGAGCTTTGTGTTCTGCATCATCAAGAACTAAACTAAGCAAGGTTTTAAATCTCTTCATAGATCTAGTTCATATCTTAGATATTATTACTGGTTTGCTTTTACATTTTAATGCTGGATGTAACTGGGATCCTGCATTCATAATCTCGTTCCACCACATGTATCACATGTGGCGTGTATGACAAATAAATCTCTCTGACATGAAAACAAAACATTACCATCTACTTCCTCGGGGGTAGGAAAAAAACTCCCAGGTAAGTGTGGATGCGTTGGGTGTAACCTAAGTTAAACAGAGTGGCTGCTTGTTGGGGGTGGGGGTTAAAGAGGATTGTACCACTTGTCTTCATTTCCCACAGCAAACACCAGCAGACAGCGATTGTGGAAACAAGTGCCCGTACCTTTCGTGTTTGGTTCCTGATGGTGGAAAGGTAAACGTGTTTTCCAGTGACCTTGATTTTTAGTTTACCACTTCACTTTAACTTTAACACTTAACCTGTTCTTATTTTAAATGCCAGGACCTGGTCCAGGTAAGCCCTAATCCTTTGTATAAAAAGGTGTTTCGGATGTTTAATCTGGGATCCTGAGTTTAGAGTCGTTTCCTGGAGTTAATGTGTTTTATATCAGTGTTTTCAGAAGTTTGTTAAGTTTACAACAGAGAAAGTTTGTCATCGTAACTCATCTGTGGTGAAATAAGTTTTTAGTAAGATGAACAAAACACTCAAATGAAATTCAATTTGTCAGGTCTGTCAACAAGATATTAAAAAAAAATTAAAGTTAATTTTATTAGTAACGTTTGCATAAGGGTGAGGCAGTCAAGAACAATATATTTTATGGCCATTTATAAAACTTTAGGCTATTGTAAATGCGGCTCAAAACTTTTTTTTTTTAATAATCTTCTTAAATATTATAAAATACACTGCAATTACTCTGAGAGCACATAGTTATTGTTTGAATAATACAGGGCTTTTACTGCATTACAGCCAAAAGAACTGACATCTGACTGGCATCAACCAGAAATTTTAATAAGTTTTTTTCAATGTTTGGCTACAGGCTTTTTAGGAAGATTAAAATAATTCACAACGGAATTCTTCTGGCCTTATGAAAGATTTAAATAGGATACAGTGCTTAAGTAGTTCCTTAAATCAGATGTTTTAAAATTCGTTTTACTATCAGCAATTTTTAAAACACTGATATTAAACTTCAGATGATACTTTAGTAAACGACAGAAACATTTTTTATATAAATGATGTTTCTGGGAGCATTAAAACCACTGCAGTTTTTCAATAGCGTCAGCAGAGGTTGGCAGATACGCTTTTGTGTTACTGTACTTCTCTCATATTTACTACATGGAAATACTGAATTATTAATAAAGTTTATAAGTCCATTTCTGTTTAAATATAAACCTAGGAAGCAGTTTGCAGTTAGATGGGCTATGTTTTCATTTCACTTTGTGTAACTATATGAACACATATGGTTGAATGAAAGGAAAAAAGTAAGTGATTCCTACAGATCTTTATTTTAGAAGGACGTTTATGCATTAGTGGTCTAAATTATACTGTTTATCTAAAATTTAAAAACCCGAGTGTGAGCTAAATAATAATTAACAGCTGTAACAAAATCAAGTCAGTTCTCTTCTTGACTTTTCTAGTGTTTATTGTAAGAATGAATAGATCCCAGTTTAGTTTGCACAGTTTGTAAAAGAGTTCATTGTAAATGAGAAGTGGTTCTCAAATCGACCTACCTGGTAAAATAAAGGTTATAATAATAAAAGTTTAGTTTCTTTTTCTTGCATTAATTTTTTCATACAGATATACATAATTTCACATATAAGGCTTTCAATGTCAGCAGCTAAAGGCTTTGTTTCCTGTCTCTGTGAGTCAGAAGGAGGGAGTGTTGTCAAAGGTGTGGGAGGAATCTGAGTGGGGCAGAGAGGACTCGGTCAATATTTGCTTGGTAAACACACCTGTGTGTAGACTTACAGGTAGTCAGCGGTTACACCTTTGACTGTTGTCTTTTTATTGTTGTAGGCTCAAATATTAAATACCCTCATATTGAAATTTTTAATACATTTTTTAACATTTAAAATTTTCCAAACACATTTTGGCTCCAAGATAAACTGCTTGCTAATGTCTGCAAGGATTTGTTTCAAAATGGTTAATAAATTTAAAATGTTAACGACTCATTGTAAAAAAAAAAAAAAAAAGATATAACTTTTTTGATCTTGCAGAAAATTGTTGTGCTAGAGTTTCAATACAAAAAGGTACATGCACAAGGAATCACACAAGAAATAAAAAATAACAGAATATTAAAAATAACAGAATATAAAAATACCAACAATTAAGGTCTAAATCAGGACAGGTGCAGACAGAAACAAAGTGTTTATTATAGTGCAGGATTAATTTTATTGTCCTATGTGCAGAAAGGGGGAGGAGTTGAAAAGTTTGATAGCCACAACGAGGAAGGACTTCCTGTGTTGTTCTGTGGAGCACCTCTATGTTCTCAGTCTATGACTGAAGGTGCTGCAGTAAGAGTCCAGTGTGGCATGCAGGGGATGTGACGTGTTGATCAGGATCTGGAGCAGTTTTCTCAGCATCCTCTGCTCAGACACCTCTGTCAGAGACTGCAGTTCCACTCCCAGAACTGAGCCAGGTCTCTTCATGAGTTTATCAAGTCTCTTGGCATCAGTTTTCTTCACACCAGAAAAATATTTAGTCTTTGTTGGTACAGTGTTACCATAATCTTCTTTATTTTCTTTTTTTTTTTTTTTTTGTATCCTGGTGTGTGCTCAATAATCCAGGTAGATAAATCTAACAAGATTAAGTCAGGTCCTCTGGACAGATTCTTCTTGTTGAAACGTTTCGTCTTTTAACCAAAATACTTTTTCAGTCTGAGGAGCTGCAACAAACTCAAACTTATCAGAGTCAGAGTCAGAGTTTCTTTATTGTCATTCGCACCTCATGTGGTACATGTGGTGGAGCGAAATTATGTACACAAGGTCCCAGTTACATCCAACAATAAAATGTATATTATGAGCAGCACCTTCTCATAAAGAATCAACCAGTTTGATCCAGAGCTAGCTGTTCACATACAAAAGGAGGACCATCAGTCTAACAATTGGTTGTCAGTTCCCTGACAGCCACTTGCTATTCACAGGGGGCTGGGCGGGCTCTATCATGTGCACATCATGGATGTGCACATGATAGAGAGGAACGCTGGTTAAAGAGAGGAATGAAGGAAGCCATCTTTGTGAAGGGATCCATCGTTAAACAGGGGCGGTGGTTTCTGTGTTCAAATGCCACCCTCTTACAATGCTGTTATTGCAAGTATCACTCAGTCCGCTGTGAATGGCAAGCAACACTAACGACCAATTGTTAGGGTGCTAACCTTGGCACTAATCTAACCTTGTTTGATTTCTCTTATTGTGTTTTTATATTGTAACGCCTTTGTTACAGAACTGGGATGTTGGACACACTGTACGAGTGGTTTTGGTGGGACAAACTCTGGTTGCCTTCAGAGCTCTCGTGGTCTGACCTGGAAGATAAGGAGGGTCGCATCTATGCCAAAGCCTCACATCTTTACATCATAGCTCCCTACGCCTTTGTCTTTCTACTCATCAGATTCCTGTTTGAGAGGTAGGACCCACATTGTATTTGGACATCAGGGTGTGTAAAATAAATATATTTGTAGTGAACTATATTGTCTCAGATATCAGGGTTCAGTGTGAATAATTAGACAAAGAACACAGTTACACAGACTTAAAAGTTACAGGTAACCACCACTGTAATCTAGAAGAGGGCACACAGAAAAGAAACTCGTGCTTTTGCCAGGCTATGTGTCAGCAGCACATTCTCACCTAAATACAAGCACATAAGCCCATGCTCACTTTGCCAGAGGTCCATCCTGGCACAATTCTCTTGGACTATGTCAGGATGAAGCTACATTATGTGCAGGAAGATCACACCACACATGCAGGATGCTGATAACATGATTAGATTATGATTCAGGTATGAGGCTTGTGTGAGAAGATCTACAGTCTTCTTATGCTGAATAACAACCCTGCTATGATGGTGGAAAAAAAAAAAGAAGCTTTTACGTGGATGGTCTTTGTAAGGTCTTGGTGAGGTTTTCTGATCCAAACCTGTGCATGCTCAACACCATCATAGTCATTGGGGCATTCAGTGCTGGGACCCCAAAACTGAAAGAGTGGCTCCAGAAACAACCTCAGAGATCTCTGTCCAAAAGAGTGCAGTCCTTGGAACAGCTGATACTAAACAGAACCCTCAGACTTCTGGTAGAGGGTTAGGGTCTGAAGTGCTATGTCTCTCAGTGTATTTTCAGTGCCATCAAATAAGTGTTAAATGACTTCTGTGTGTACATCATTTAAACAAAGCTGTTGCCTTATACAGCATACAGTAAATCTACACAATGACAATAGATTGTTGTGAAAGTTTCTCAAACAACCAGTGACTCCACCCCCTGACCAATCAGTGACCGACAGTGTTCTGACATCACGTGTTAAGGCCAGCACGGTACACTTGGAACCGCAGAGAAGTTGGTAAAGAAAAGGGGGCTGGTTCCACTTATCATTGCTAGTGGAAAAGCCTTGGAACCGTTCTGATCCGTGCCTAACCGAGTCGAACCGTGCCTTACAGCCGCTAATGGAAAAGGCCCATTAAGCAGTCCGTCACCTATCGTGATGCAGGTGTACCATTACATTGCAGTTTAGATTTCTGTCAGAAGTGTGTGTGTGTGTGTGTGTGGGGGGGGGTACATTTTTTGCTTTCAATAAAACAATAATCGTCAGTCTTTTACAGCTAGGGGGATTGCCTCCACTCTGACAGCCAAGCTAGAATTGGTGTCTGTTCTTTGACTGCTTGTTGGGGGGACCTGCAGTGTGTCTGTGATGTGAGAAATGCTGAATTGGCACAATTACAATATATGAATAATAGCAGGCATACACAGGAAAACCAAGTAAATCAAGATACTTCCAACAATTTTTATAATTTTTCATAGTTTTATGTTTTCTGCGCTCCATCACATGCTGCTTCTGTTCCATTGGCAGTAAGACTTGTGTTTAATGCACTGCAGATGGATAGCCACACCCCTCGCGGTCTCTGCTGGAATCAAACAGCGAGTCCATCTGAAAGCAGAAGACAAGCCTTCCCTGGAACTCTTCTATACAACTCAGAGCAAAAGTCCTGCTCAGGTAACGTTACACTCAGAACACAAGGTAACTCATTTCAACTGGGTTAACTCGTGGGCTTTACACATGGCCTATAGACCAAAAGATAAATGGTAATTTGACAAAATGTCATTCTTTGAAGTTTTATCTACAGTTTGTGGGTGTGAGTTTTCAGTAATTAAAAAAAAACATCTCAGACGTTTGCTTGTTTGAAAGTGACTCAATTTAAAAATATATATATTTCGTCTTTCATTCATGACGCTTTCCTAATTCAGATTGAAAACTGTGATGTTCTGGTCTTTAAAACTTAAGTGAACAGCTCAGTTTATATGAGATAAACTCACATGCAAATCACTTCCCTTCCATCACCCCCTGAGGCTCCTTATGGGGACTTTGATGACCTGGTCCAAGTATGAAGCAGTAGTTTAAAGTAGTTTAGTGTGAAACTGACTTGGGATCAGATTTAATTCTGCTTTGTAAGTTCTGACAACCTAATGCTTCCCCTTCTGTGGAGAGGCTGTGGCTGAGTGGTTAGACCAGTCGTCCTCCAATGCAAGAGTTGGGGGTTCGAATCCACCAGCAGTCACATGTCGAAGTGCCTCTGGGCAAGACACTGAACCCATGTGTGTCCCATCAGTGTATGAATGTGATCTAAAGCACTGATTAGTCTATTTAGAATGATTTGATCAATTAGCTGTGTAGAGATCTAGTAGAGTGCTGTATGAACGGGTAAATGAGGCACAGATTGTAGTGTAAAGCACTTTGAGTGTCTTCATTGGATAGAAAGCGCTATATAAGTGCAGTCCATTTACCTTCTGTTTGAATTTGTTATAAATTGTACACATTCATTAAACACACAAAAGATGCAATGTCTAAAGGGGCGCATGTGCGAGTGCTGACCCTTGGCATCTGTTTCAGTACGACGCTGACTGTATTATATATATAAACTGTATATATATATATATATATATATGAGGAGTGGTGGTGCAGAGGTTAGAGAAGGTGGGCTGCACCCACACCTGCCGCCACCCTCATTCGCCCCACTCTGGGCCCTTGAGCAAGGCCCTTAACCCCCACCATCTGCTCCTCCGGGTGTCCTAGATAGCAGCTCTCTGCTTCACACAGAGGGCTGCGGTAGCTCAATGGTCTGTGGTTGCATCAGGAAGGGCATCCGGCGTAAAAAATAACTGCCAAGTCTTTGTGTGACTTAGTTCGCTGTGGCGATCCCTAACGCAGGGAGCAGCCGAAAGAAGAAGAAAAAAAAAAACAAATACATATATATATATATATATATATATATGAAGGTGTTTTATACCCTTCCCACACTCTTGCAATATTCTAATCAATGTTTCTAAACTCTAAACGCTCTAATAGAGCACAGAATGTCATGATTTCAACTCTCTCTGCCTTAGGGAGAATTATCATGCCGTTAATGGAGAGCGCACATTTTGTGTCCGAAAGCAGGAATTCATCTCTTTGTTCTCAAAACTTGTAATGCTTGGACTCAAAACTTCTGCTGGCTCTCCGTTAATGGCAGGAACTTTCTTCCACATCAGCCACCTGCCAACGCTCTCGGCCACGCCCACTTCTCCAATCATGACACGATGCAGGAAGAAGCTTTTTCTGCAGCTCTGGTAGAGTTGCATTCAGGCCTAATAAATCCGACCCAACCCGGCCCCAGCCCGTAACCATTTTTTTCCAAGCCTGACCCGACCCAATCATTTAACTGTAGTTACAGAACTCAACCCGAAAAGAAAAATAAAAATTTTTTTTGTTCATTATTAAGCTTTTACTGCTTTTGTAAGCAAATCAGTTTGACATGATATTTTTCTAAAACGTATTTCAAGATATAAGATTTCTTGTTTCATCAAATAGATATTAACATACAAAATGAAAAGCATAAAAAAATCAGTTCTAAAAATAGGCTATTACACAGATGAACAAAAATATTTTTAGAGAAAAATTATTTGAAAAGCTATTTTAATTGCTGCTCGCTTTGGCTTTTGTTGATGCTGCAACTTCCTTCACCACAGTTAAAAAAAAACAAAATAAAACCCTTCTTTCACCACAGTTTGCAGCAGGGTGCTGAGACGCACGCGGCCGGTGATCAGGTGATCCCTCTGAAGCTTAACTGGACATTTTTTCACCTCTTTCAACCGGCCGGTCACACCTGCCTCCTCCTCAACAAGTAGATTAACACACTTTTATATTGTGCGTTCTTATTTAGTTTTCTTTCTGCTGTATGATTCGTATGCGTCCGCGAAAACCGAACCGCGAAGTAGTGAGGGACTACTGTAATTACAGTCAGACCAAGCAGCCACAAGAAGTAGTCCATTTCCTTTTAAATGGATTAATTTTCTGTGTTTGTGTTTAAATCCAGGCTGACATTGATGGGTTGTCCAAGAAGAGCAGTTTGTCAGTGAGACAAGTTGAACGCTGGTTCCGAAAAAGACGGCGACAGGACCAACCCGGAGTTCTGAAGAAGTTCAGAGAGGCAAGGTCATTACTCTCTCTCTCTGTCTCTCTCTCTCTCTCTCTCTCTCTCTCTCTGTCTCTCTCTTTCTCTCTCTCTCTGTCAGTGCTTCATGCCGGCGTCCTCTCATATTACAGTTGGAGGTTCGTCTTCTATCTGTCTGCGTTTATCGGAGGAGTTGCAGCTCTTCATGATGTGAGTACAGAAATGCACTGAAACGCTGAAATGAAACACAAATTGATTTCAGCACAGAAAACATGTTTCTGGGGCCTTCTGCCAGTTAACTCTCTGAAGTGCGGCTGTAGTTTTAACAATAACATTTTCTTTTGATGGGTTTACAGAAAGAATGGCTTCAGGACATGAGACAAGTGTGGACAGATTATCCCCAGCAGGTTTGTCCCTGATGATAAATAATGTCAACTTTACAACACACCACGCATGACTTTTAATAACAGGACATATCAATTCATGTTAACAGCTGGTCTAAGCATTTATCTTCAATTATTTGTGTTGATAACTTTTTATTGGTATTTATAACTTCAAGGTTGGTACAGAACTTGGTGGAAAAAACTGCTTGTATGTTTTTTCACTTCCAAACTGATTTAAAATTGATCCCGATCAGTCATTTTACTGTAAAAACAAGGTGCAGGCTTTGGAAGAAGACTTGATTGGAGTTAGTGACTGCTTCCCTGCTTCCCTTCTTTGTCTAAACTGCTACTCTTAAATGTTTCTTTCTAATGTGAATTGTGTTACATTACATACTTTGTATGTTTTTCAAAATTGTTTTAAGCATCTCAAAATGAATGGTTTGGTTTTCTGCAGTTTTTATGTGTTTGTGAAAAGGTTAGAATAAAAGACATATTTGTCAGTAGAACTGATTATAGTTTATTTTTAAACTGTGTCTCTTTCTGTCTCTGTCCTCAGTCCATGCTGGAATCTCAGTACTGGTATTACATCCTGGAGATGAGCTTCTATGGCTGCCTCCTCTTCAGTGTGGCATTCGATGTAAAGAGAAAGGTGTGGTTGTTAAAGATTAAAATCCTAACTCTGTTATTAATACAAAAATCCTGTTAGAATTTCTTATTCTTAATGGTAGAAAAAGCATAAAGTATATTGTTTAAGTAAAAGGAGCATTTTTCTTTAGAAAAATAAATAAGCATATCCGTGTTAATAATTGTGTCAAATAAAATATGTTGTAATCTTATGTGATAATAATAAAAATATTGTTTAATAAATAATATTAATAAGTTAATGATAATACAGTATGTATATAATATATATATTACGTGTTTAATTATGGTCTTTAAGTGCTGGACTCAACTGGAAGTCTGAAGGAACAATAGGTGGGGTTTTGGTTGTGGTGGACAACAACATCAAGAAATGTTATTTTCTTGATGTTAATGACTGAATTGTTCGGTCACGCATAAGAATCTGATCAACATGATGTTGAAGCTTCTAACCCATGAAGACATGACTTTACCATCCCAATGCTCTATCCTTTGTGTGCTATGATCTCACTTTGGAGATGAATGGTTTTCAGAATGAGGGTTTGGGCATCTGTTTCTTTTCTACCTGTCTGTATGATGACATCAGCATCATGTTTTCTATTTAAGGACAAAAAAAATTACAGGAACTGGTGTTTAAACTACAGAAAGATCCTGGAGACATGCAAACCGTGAATTGTATTGTGTGTGTGTGGTTTTTAATTCAGGACTTTCAAGAGCAGATCATCCATCATTTGTCTACATTGGTCCTCTTGTCATTTTCCTGGTGCGCCAATTTCCTCCGAATAGGAACTCTGATCATGCTCATCCATGATGCCTCTGATGTTCTACTGGAGGTCAGTCATAGTGTGTATTACTGATTATGAAATCTATGAGAACTTACCCATATTTAGATCAATTCTTCAGTTTTGTGTTCCGTTATCTGTGGTTTGTCAATCAATCAACATTTAGTTATTTAGCCCCTCATTATAACCAGAAGGTGATCACGTGCGACACAGTACACAAGTTAAAACAGATAATAAAGACAATACAAATAAAAGGTTCACATGATGAAAAATGCCACTGTGATGGTAAATATTTAAAGACTGCCTGAAAAAAAAATATTTTGAACATTAGTTTTAACACTGTGTGAAAGGGTAATTTCACATAAACATTCACAAGTTTGACTTTTTTATTTTATTTTGAATTTGATTTTTTTTTTTTTCAGTCTGCCAAATTATTCAACTATGCCAGATGGGAGAAAACCAGCAGTGCTCTTTTTGTTTTGTTTGCCATGGTGTTTCTGGTGACACGACTCATCATCTTTCCATTTTGGTAAGTCTGTAAATGTGTATGTGCAAAGAACTAAACAATGCTTCAATGTAGGCTATGTGTAGGTGTCGGTGTCGGTGTGGGGTTGGTTGAACCAAGATGTAAGACACGAGGATCTCAAAGTAAAGTAGAAACTTATTTATTCTAACAATCAAAACAAAGGACCAACGTGGCGACAAAGTTCTGCCACAGAAGGCGAACACGAGGAGTATCGAGACATAAAGATAAACCAGTATAATGAGATACTGGTGAGGTTGTGACGACAGACTGTTTAAATAACAAACTGAGAGAAATGGAAGTACAGAAAGAGAACTACGAGAGGAAAGTGGGAACACCTGTGCTGAATACATTAGATGTCAGAATATACTCCAGCTAGTTGTTCTCCACAGGCCTTCAGGATGCTGGGAAGAACTCCATTGGGTCCCCTAACCTTGTGGGGGTTTAACTTCTTTAGAGTTCTCAGGACCTGTGCGTGTGTCACCTGGAAAGCAGTGTCCCTGGGGTCACAGGAGGCCCTTGAGAGTGTGTCAGTGTTCAACCTGGAGAACCTGGCATAGAGGGCGTTAAAGCTGTCTGGAAGGGTCACTGGTTAACTGGTCATCATTAACGTCACGCAGACTTTCACACTGCTACATTTTCATCTTTAACCACTTCTTGGTCTGTTACCTTCATACATCTCCTCCTACATGTCAATTTGTGAGTGCAGCTACAGCGTGCGCTCTCAGGACATTATTACATGCAGTGTCCCCTCAGTGCAGACCGAACTAGGCAAAAGCTCCTTCTCCTACTCTGCTCCTGTAACACTTTACAAAAAGATCTGAAGCTCTCGACTTTGAGCTCTTCAAACAACCAAGTTCATGACACAAACCACTGCAGACATGTTCCTGTTTTTAGTATTTTACATCGCTTTAAAATGGAGCTGTTTTTGTTTCATTTTTTATATAAAATCTTCCATTTACTTTTGAATTTATATGCTTTTATAGGATTGTTTACCGTTGTCTGTGTTCTTTGTTTAAAACAGGTCTCTCTCGTGAATGAGTCCTCAAGGCTCAATGAGAACAACCTGTTGGTTGAATGAAAAAATGAATTGAATCTCGGGGTTCTGTGGTTGTCGTGGTTCTCCTATAGTTTGTGTCAGATTGAATTAGTTGTCAAATGCTGTGCGTGATTTTTATTTTTTTTTAATTCAACCTTTATTTAAACAGCTTAGTCCCAGTGAGCCACGAGGACTCATTTACAAGAGAGACCTGATTTGGTTGGGGTAGTAGCGTTCAAGTTTTTGTGAGTGAGCTTTTGTTGCTTCTCTGATGGACTTCTGCAGCTCGTACCGTGTTTTCTTTTACTCCACTTGATCTCCTGACTCGAAGGCCTCCCTCTGCTTCCTGATCGTCTGTTTTACTTCCCCATTAAACCAGGGTTTTTGGTTGGGGAACATCCACACAGTTCTGGGAGGGGCAAACATGGATGTACACCAGCTTCTGTAGTCACTCACAGTCTCTGCATATGGATATATCATGGATATTGTTTGCAGCCTCTTTGAAGGTGATTCCGTCTTTGGCCTCCAAGCCCTGCAAGCTAACCTTTGCACCATCAGTCCAGATGTTAATGGACTGACTGACTGGCTGTGTCTTAAGCCTTTTGTTGTAAAGCGGTTTAAGTTGGATTGCCAGGTGATCAGACTTACCAAAGTGAAGTTTTGGTTCAGTCGAGAAGGCATTCCTGATGTTGCTGTAGCAGTGAACCAGTGTTTTATTTCCCCTGGTGGGGAAACTGATGCAGTTTAGGGACTGTTATTCTGAAGATTGCAGTGGTTAAAATCTCCCAGAATAATAACAGCATCCTCAGGATACGTGTTTTCATGCTCGTTGATCATGTCGTGTCTCCTCCTGTGCAGCCTCCTCTTTAACAGCAGTGTGATATAAACGACACTCACAATGATGCATCGCAGTTCTCTAGATAACATGGCCTTAGCTTCACTGTCAGATTTTCCACGTTTTCACAGCAGGATTTAGAAATGATCTTACAGTCTGTACACCATGATTTTAACAAAGATTAGATTTGGGGGAGTGGTGGCGCAGAGGTTAGAAGATGGGCCTGTGATCGGAAAGTTGCAGGTTCAACTTCCGGTACCGTCAACATCAAAATGTGGGTGGAAAAGGTGAAACACCCACACCTGCCTCCACCCTCATTCGCCCCACTCTGGGCCCCTGAGCAAGGCCCTTAACCCCCACCATCTGCTCCCTAAACAGGTCTCTCTTGAAAATTAGTTCTCGTGACTCAATGAGACTACCTGTATAAATAAAGGGTAAATTAAATTTTTTTTTTTTTTTTTTTACCTCAGTCACCGACTCTTGTTACAGTTCTGAGGTTAAACCAAGGAATGCAGATATATGCAGGAGATCAAGTAAAACTTAACTTTATTTTAAAATAAAACAAAAGCTGACATGACAGCAAACTTAAATAATCTGAGTATTGACAGATGGAGGCATGATGACATATAAGAAGAAAAAATGAGTCACAGAGAGCTACGGGAAACGAGAAAGGGCGTTGGAATCAAAAATGCTCAAGTGAAGATGGAGTGAAGACAGACAATAGGTGGGTTAGGAGATAAGGAGATGGGTGCAGCTGAGCACTGGAATGGGGAACAAGTGTATTTAGGTGATGCAGAACTGGGAAAAGAGACATATGTGGACGTAGCAGGACTGGGGAACAGGCATTACAGGACATGGCAGAACTGTGGTACATGCAGTTGTGGGCAGAGCAAGACAGGAGAAAAAGTCATTTGTGGGCATGGCACAACTGAGGAAAGAGGTATATGTGAGTGTGGAAGGACTGGGGAACAGGTGTATGTGGGCGTGGCAGGACAGGGAAACAGGTATATGTGGGTGTGGCAGGACTAGGGAACAGGTATATGCATGGCAGGACTGGAGAATGGGCATTACAGGAGGTGGCAGGACTTGGGAACAGGTGTATGTGGGCATGGCTGGACTGGGGAAAGAGGCATATGTAGGTGTAGCAAGACTGAAGAAAGATGTGTATGTGGCCATGGAAAGACTGGAAAATATGTGTATGTGAAAGTGCCAGGACTGATGAAGTGGGTGTATGTGGGTGATGTGAAACAGAGGAACAGGCATATTTGGGCATGGAAGGACTGGGGAATAGGCATTATGATGCATGGCAGACCTGGAAACATGCCTATGTGGGCATGGCAGGAATGGGGAATAGGCATTACGGAGAGTGTTAGAACTGGAAAAAGCAGCGTGTGTGGGCATGGCAGGACTGGGGAATAGGTGTTTCAGGATGTTACAGGACTAAGGAACCGAGACTACCTGTGAAAAAGAACCTGGTGTAATGCACTGATGGAATAGGGGAAAGGACAGGAACAAAACCACTCACAAGAATCACAAAACAAAGTCACGTTAACAAAATGGGAGTAAACCCAACAATGAACAATAAAACTATCAATAATATCAAAAAGCTCCAGATCCTGACATATGTAACGAAGAACAATTTTAGTTTATTTTTTGTGTGTGTTTTCCAGGTTAATCCACTGCACCTGGGTTTACCCAGTCTTCTACTACCCCCCCTTCTTTGGGTACTACTTCTTCAATGGGATGCTTGTGGTTCTGCTCCTGCTTCACGTATTCTGGGCCTACCTTATTCTCCGCATGATCAAGAAGTTGATAGTTGGCACAGTAAGTTTGTTCAGAGATCTTTCAGTATGGTTAGAGATCACCTGTCTTGTCTTAGTGAACTTTATTCAGTTAAATTCATGACCTCAGTTCGTTAAGAAGATTTCAAATCAGAGGAGGTGAAATCAAGCGTGGGCACAACTCTTGATTGATTGATTGATTGACTGACTGCGTGACTGATTGATTGATAAAACAAGCACAGGACGTGGCTCAGTTTATCCTCATTAAAGCTTGAACTCTGTTGATTCTTTACAGTTCTGAGTAAAAGACTTGGTTGGGTTGGTCCTGGTGTTGGTTGTAGCTTTGCTATGCATTAAAAAAATAGTCACAACAGATAAAGATGCTATATGCTTTGTAGTGAATCTAAATGTGAAACCTGTTAGATTGTTAGACTCTGAGTTATTCATCATGTTGAGCAGAAGCACGTCACTAACTGAACAACCTGCAGCTTCATTTTCAGCAGTTCTTCTCATTAGTCCAAATTTGTTTTCAGGTTTGTTCGCTCTGGAACTTGTTTCCTGCAAGTAATTTTTGTTCGACTTTTTTTTTTTCTTATATCAAAGCTGACAAAAGATGAGAGAAGTGACAATGATGAGGAAGAGGGGCAGGAAAGCAGCCCTTCAGAGGAAGATGTCTGTCAACACAAGCCATCCAATGGACTGATAACTGCTGCAAAGAAGAACGGGAACGGGTGCTTGAATCCTCTCCAGCGGTAAAGAGTCGTCTTCAGTTGGATGGTGCTGGAGATGTGAGAAAAGGAAGAGTGCTAAACCAAGTCCATATTTATTGATCCAACATAAATTATTTGATAAAATGTTGGAACATGAGCTAAACCAAACAATCACTGTTGCTCTGACTGAGCTCTGAAACATGAGCAGAGTTTTTAACTCTGTATTTATTTACAGTATTTATTTATTTTTATTAGTCCTGTGTTTCTCTCAAAGCTACGATAAAGCTCTTACAAACTGGTTTGATTGGGAAAATGTGGACATGTTCTTTAATTTTTAAGCGTTTGTTAATGAAAAGGTTAAGGCTTCGTGACTAACAACTGTAATCTTGTTGTTCTTTTGCCTGCTTCTTTCTGCAGGGGTCACCACAGTGATCATACTCACACCAAAGATCTAGAAATTGTTTTGTATTTTTACACTAGAATCTAGTGTAAAAATCTAGTGACATTCTCTTCTTGATGCAATCTGGGTTAAAACTCACAACCTCAGAATTATAAGGCACCACAGCTTTCTGTATAAACCTGTTTTATGGTAAATAAATGCTACCATTGTCCAAAACCTAAGAACAGTCAGGTAGCTGCTATAAAGTTTAGGAATAATAAAATATCTTATTTTTCTGACTTTAAAACTGTACAGCTGAATGTGCTGCAATAAGTCTTTTAACCAAAGTTTATTAGTTACTTCAGGAAGAGCAACTTTTCTGAAATTTTCACCAAGTCTGTTGTAAAATTATTGAAAAAAGTTAAAACTTTTAACTACTTCTTGAAAAAACCACTTCAGATGTCCACAGATTCCAGAGTCAAAGGGTTGTACCAAGTTTGTTGTATGGTCTCTAAGACCATGTTTTGTAAGAATCTGCAATATGTTAGATTTTATTTAAGGGACAAACATATTTTAATATTTGGTAAACGATGAACTTTTGCTCCATGGAATGGCCTCTTTTATACAAGTTTTAACAAAAGTGTGAAATTAATTCTTGTGAAGGATGTTCAGTCAGTTCTTTCATTAAAAAACAGAAACAGACTTCGTTGACTCTTTACATGTGACGTCTTCACCTTCACCTTCACCACAGATCAAATACAAACTAATTTCTTCAAGAAGAATCTGGTTTGACCTGGATCTCTTCAACACTGACGTGAACTGACCTGGATCAGCCTGCATCTGCAGCCTGACAATTATTATCAGTACATTCACATTTATACAGACGTGTAAAAAAAACAATGGAGAAAAAAAATAGGAATAATTTTCATAGTCCCGGAATTTTAAATAAAAATAGGAAAACTAATCACCAATGAATTATCAGTAGCCTTTACACATTCAACCTTTATTTACACAGGTTAGTCTCATTGAGTCACGAGGACTCATTTACAAGAAAGACCTGTAACATGAGAAAACATAAAACCAATAAAAACAATCATTTGTTCAGATTCAAGTCCATATTATTGAGTTTAAAACACAATCATTCATACAGCAGGCCAGACATATTATTAGAAATACTCCATACATTTTTAGAACACAAAGGATGGGTTTAATGGTAACATTTTTCTGGGTACCAGCGCATACAAGGAGATGGCAGATAATATGGCAAATAAGACAACTCAAAATCATATTAACTTCTCAGTATATAGGCTAAGTAAATCAGGGATGAGAAGTATAATCAAGCGAAAAACTGAAGAAAGAATGGCAGAAAAGGTGGGATGAAGAAAGAAAAGGAAGTTGCATTTTTAATCAAAAAGGTTCTGTAGATGAGAACTGGAAGAAGGAGCAGAAAGTAGGAAAAATTAATAACAAGACTAAGATTTGGACATACAGGACTCAGTTTTACACTTTTTCAGAAGCACAATACAGGAAATGTGATCACTGCAAAGAAAATTAAACTACATGTTTTACTGGAATGTCTAAAATATGACCATGAAAGAAGATATATGAGGGATTTAAAATATATATTTTTTTAAAGTTCAACATAATACATTAGATATACAAAAAAATAACTTAGGGACCAAACATGCAAATTATAATTCAATTTTTTAAATCAAAACTGATTAATAAAATTTGATTACATAGTGGGCAGCACAGTGGCGCAACTGGTAGAGCTGCTGCCTCTCAGCGAGCAGGTCCCCGGTTCAAATCCCAGTCTGGGGGCCTCTCTGGGTGGAGCTTGCATGTTCTCTCCGTGCATGCGTGGGTTTTCTCCAGTTACTCCAGTTTCCTCCCACAGACCAGAAGCATGCCTGTTAAACTGATTGGTAACTCTAAATTGTCCCTAGGTGTGAGTGAGAGAGTGAATGGTTGTTTGTCTCGTTTGTCTCTATGTGTCCCTGTGATGGACTGGAGACCTGTCCAGGGTGTACCCCGCTCCTCGCACAGTGACAGCTGGACATGGGCACCAGTGACCCCTGTGACCCAAAATGGAAGAAGCAGTAAAAGATAATGGATGGATGATTATATAATTTATACTGTAAACCATGATAAAGCACACTCCATACCAGTTGGTGGCGGTAAAGCACACTTTCAGTTTTCTGCCAACTGACAAACTACAGAAGAAGATTTTTTTTTTTTTTTTCCCCTTACGTCTAGAAAAGTTATCCCGGCCGGTGCTTCGGTTCGGTGTGAGGTTAATAAGTTTGTTTGACAGTAAAACCTGTTCCGACCTGGCGGTTTTACTATGTTTGTCCGCCATGTTGCCTGCCTGCTCCTCTCTCTCCTGTGCACCGGAGGGCCGCCGGGTGAGTTCGGCTTTGATTTCTCAGCTTAACGGAAACTTTTTTCTTTCTGAAATATATATAATTTCTAAGATGAATTGTTGCATTTTGGTGTTGTTTCCGTCACGGAAAAAAAGCTTTGACCAGGTAAGTGACTTTCACGCTGTGTTGCTGCTCGGTTTGGTTCTGAGCATGAAAAAAGCTCGAACTCGTCTGTTTGTCCGATGTTCTGCTTCAATCCGTGCCCGCGGTAACAGGCGACCTTTAACAGGAAGTGGTTCTGGATGCCGGTTCATACGTCACTGTTACCGCCATATTGGGAGGGTCAACCTGTCAGAATCGGACTTGTTGGAGCTGAAGACTGCTGTTTGGTCAGAATCAGTTCTTTAAAAAGTGTCCAAACCCAGGTAAGAAAAAAAACCTGGTTCTAACTACATTTTATAAATAGTTCTAAACTGGACCCACAACCAGCTGTAAGTCTACGTTTATCCAGTTTAAATGTTTTTTTAACCTTTATTTATACAGATCTCATTGAGTCACAAGGACACATTTTCAAGAGAGACCTGTTTTTAGATAGACAACATGTAGAGTACAATAAACAACAATAAACTAAAAATAATTGTGTTGTCAAAACAAAAACAAAAATCAAAGTGCCATATAAAACAAGGTAAAATGCTCAAAACAAGAACATAAATTTGCTTAGATTTTTCTAGTTACCTTATCAAATGTTTAAAACCCCTTAAAGAAATCAAAGTGGACAGCTTCAGATCTTGTTGCAAGGCCTTACAGGAGCAGAGTAAGAAAAGGCCTTTTTCCATATTCAGTCTGCACTGAAGGAACGCTGCAGGTAATGAAGGCTTGAGAGCACACGCTGTAACTGCACTGACGACGTGACAAGTGGGAGGAGATATTAGTTGGCAGCAGAACAAGGAATGATTTATTGATGAAGATGTACCAGTGTGAGACCCTACATGGAGATAATGATGACTACTGACCAATGAGTGCAGAGTGCAGTGATAGGTACGGTAGTTGCATCTGAATCTTAGCGCGCCATGGTAGACAGCATCCAACATCTGCAAGGAACTGGCAGGGGCATTCATGTAAATAATGTCACCATAATCAATAGCCTGTAGGAAGGTGGTAGTAAACTTTCTGTTTTTAAAACACCCCTTTGGTTTTATCAGCATTTAGCACCAGTTTGAGACGTAACAAGTCTGACTGAATGATGTCAAATACAGACTGTAGAAGCTGGAAAACCTTAGCAACTGTGTTAGCTTGGCAATTAACAATTGTATCGACAGCATAGAGATGCATGGAGGCGTCAGGAATGTTTTAGTTCATTTCAGTTTATTTGTATAGCACCAAGTCACGACAGAAGTTGCCTCAGAGCACTGAACAGAAACATTCATATATAAAAATAATAAGTTAACACTAATTATCAGAAGAGCAGACTGTTTTGAGTTTAACTCCATTGCAGAACTCTCCTTTTGAGCAAGCATGAGGACAACAGTGGAAAGGAAAAACTCCCTTGTGAGGAAGAAACCTTTTGCAGAACCAGGCTGAGGACAAGCGGCCATCTGCTTCGACTGGCTGGGTTTGAGAGGAACAGGAAACGATGACAGATACATAATGGCAGGTCAAGAATCACATGTTAAGATAGAAATACTATTAAATTAAAACTATTAAATTTTAGCAAATCATTTAAGGAAATTAGGTCAATTTGTCCTCCAGTAGTAAGCCCAAGGCAGTCAACCTGCATAACTTTATATAAAATGTAAAAAGAGTGGATCCTAAAACTGAGCTTTGTGACACATCAGTAGGGCCCATTAAATAGCTAGACAAAGTACCTTGTGTTGTACACATCGCATCCAACCTGAGAAATGGTTAGAAAACCAAGTTCTTTGAGTACCGGTAGTTAAGGCCGTAGTATTTATGAATATGACTTCATTTAGACAAAAACTGTATTTCAGACTTCACATTTCTTCTTTTAGGTAGGCCTGTCAGGAAAACAAATTTTGCTGAGCGATTAATTGTCTCAGAAATTATTGCGATAAACGATAATATTGTTTGAAATTTGACAATAATTCATAATTATTGTCAAATTTAAGAAGAAATGTTGATTAATTTGTTTTGTGTGTAGTACATTTTTTCGACCACTGGATGGCAGTATAAGACTGCTTGAACCGAAGGATGGATAGTGAGGGAGTGAGCAGTGTGTTTCTTTAAGCAAAATGGGAGGGAGGCCTCTTGACACGGGCTGTCTCCAGTGTTGCCAGGTGTACGATAATTATCGTATTTGTACAACAATTTTGCCCTTTGTATGATCAATAATCCCCAAAAAGGCCAAATATACGATAATTTGACCATTCCGTGAATGTGTGGTTGTAATCAGTTGTCATCAGCCTGTCAGAATTTTTTTGTGAACCCTGAAGGCATCTGTGTCCACAAACAGTTGCACGATTGGCTGGAAATTCCAGCCAATCGTGCTTTTCTAAATGTGACTTACGAGTGACGTGTATGCGTTTGCCTCAGAACAACGGCCATGATTGGCTGAATAGTCCGCTGCGCCCGCCCCATGAGTGAGAAAAAGAAAAGAAGAAGAAGCAGAGCTGGTCTGGAAGTGGACCTATCACTACTATAGTGCATCAGTAGATTTGTTATTCTGGTTATGACGGGTGTACAATCATTTCCCTCAAAATACGATCATTTTATGTCTCTAGCACAATAATCTGCCCTGTGATGGACTTGTGACCTGTCCAGGGTGTACCCCGCCCCTCGCACAGTGATTGCTGAACATGGGCACCAGTGACCCCCGTTACCCAAAATGGAATAAACTGGTAAAGATAATGGATGGATAGCACAATAATCCTACATTTCTCACCTGGCAACACTGGCTGTCTCTCTTTCCTGTTTTTCGGTGCTCGAAATGGCGGACGCTCTGTGTGTTTTGAGCTCCTTAGCATAGCGTTTTTCACACAAAGCTTTTAATAAAAAAATCAGTTAACAAGTTCTCAGCTTCTTTTTGCAGAGAAAAACAACTTTTTACATGAAGGCACAGGTTTCAACCGTGAATTTTGGAGCTTTGACAAGACGGAGGTTTTTTCCCCGAGCTTAGCCTGTTAGTTAGCTCATAGCTTAGCTTCTCAACTTGGCAGCTTTTAACGATCCAAAAACGTGATTTTGGAAGGTTAAAATGGATTTTAAAGAGAAAGGGAGGGGTCAGTGAAGAGCACCGGAGTTGAGCCTTATGTCATCCAGTGTCTTCAGTAAAAAGAGTGAGAGAGATGAAGAAACAATAAAACCGATAAATGAAAAAGATGTAGATAATTTTCATTTATCATGTGATTAATTGATTTATTGTGACAGGTCTACTTTTAGGTCACTTGAAATTCATAAAAGCATTTCTCTGTCTTCATCTTCTACCTCTTATCTGTATTTGGGGTGCAGAGGCAGCAGGTCCAGGAGAGAAACCCAGACCCCCACTCTCCTCAACGGTCTTCCAGACTTCCAGAAACTGACTCTTATCTCAGCTGCTTCACACTCGTCCAAGAACCTCCCCAGTGCACTGCACGCTGAAGATCATGGTCTGAAGACGCCAACAGAACCACATTAACAACATAAATTGGAGATGAGACCCTGAGGTTGCCAAACCAGACCCTGTCCTCTCCACAGCTGTGCCTGCTTTCCTTTTCTTAGTCGCTGAACGATTTGCCCAAACCTCTTTGAGGCCAACTGAAAGTCCTTCTCAATGGCCTTCCCAAATTCCTCCTATACCAGAGTTCTTTGCATCTACAAAATCCGCAGTTCTTCTGGCTACCTGGTATCTGTCAGCTACTTCAGACAGCCAAACCCTGAAGGCCTCAATCTTCAGCTTCATGGACTCCATCACCGCTGGTGTCAGGTGTCAGGTGTCTGAGTGTCGATGTGACAGGAATCAATGACTTTCAGGCTACATCTTATAAAAGCCATATCTGCAGAAGAAGCCTTGAACATGGCCCAGATAGTGTCTATGTGGGGGTGCACACCTGATGTGGACTTGGACTGCAGCGAGGCTCAGACTCTCCATCAGCCAATCGTAGACCTGTTCCACCACTGACATCAGGACCTGGACTCCAGGGGGAGTCATTCAGTCCTTCATCAGAAACGCCACCCTGCTGTTGAATTTAATAGAACCTAACTTATTATTTTGTTTTGAATAAACTTAGTTTTAATGAATATTTTTGTGCAAATTGTTTTTAAATTATTATTTTAATCATCTGAAAATTTGAGTTCTTATTTTATCACAGCTAACGTGTTAAATATTTTGATAATAAACCCAGTTAATGATAGGTGTGATACTACATTTTACTGGTGTACAGATAAAACCTCTTCAATAACCTTTTACTTGTATTTGTGTTAAAAACAAGATATCCATTCAGCTGACGGGGACCACAGGATATGAACTAAAAGTGTTTTGGTAACATATTTAACCTGTTATGATGTTTTTTCTGTAATTTTATTACACTTGGATTTGTCAGCACAGTTAGAGCTGTTACCTCACAGTTAGATGGTCCTGGGTTAAATCTCCATCTTTGACCTTGGTCAAAGTTTGCATGTTCTCGTGGGTTTTCTCCAGGTATTCTGGTTTCTTCTCACAGTCCAAAAATATGCTAGCTTGGCTGTTTTCATGTCCAGGAGGAGCTTGCAACAAACCTCTGTAATTTCAGTGGGATTTGTTTGGTGTAATAAAGGTTATTATAAAATATTATTTAAAAAAATTTCAAGTAGATTTAAAAGATCAACATAAACACAGCCAAAACTGTGGGCGGAGGCTGCACATTTTTATTTATCAAAGGTTTAATTCATAAAAAATGAACTTTAAAATTTGCTTAGTAATGTGACTTCACAGTTTTATTTGACCTTTATTTATTTAACCAGATTAGTCAGCTGTAAACATTCTGATTTTTAATGTGTATTACATATTACATAATGTGTAACACACATTCAATTCAGCTTTTTTCTTTAGCTCCAAGTCCCAACAGAAGTTCAATTCAGTTTATTTATATAGCGCCAATTCACAACAAAGTTGTCTCAGGGCACTTTACAGGAACATTCACATAAATTATAAAAGCCAATTATTGAATGTTGCATATCTAAGGAAGCCAGCAGATTGTGTTGAATCTTCACTTTGTCACACTCCCCCATCCTGAGCAAACACAAAGGCAACAGTGGCAAGGAAAAACTCCCTTTCAACAAGAAGAAACCCCCAGCAGAACCAAGCTCAGGACGAGCGGCCATCTGCTTCAACCAGCTGGGATTTAAGAGAACAGGAAGTAGAAACAGACAAACGTAGAATGACTGGTCCAGGTGTACTTTCTGGAGGGAAGACCAAAAACATGTTAAGATAGAAATAATTACAAATACAAATGGGTGGAGTAGCACAAGTAAAGACAGTATACTGTATATCTATATAAACATACACACACATAGGTTACATCTGTGTGTGTGTATATGTATACATGTATACATTTCTAAATCTTTTATGCAGATTTGTTCACTGGCGACCCCTGCAGAGGGGAGCAACTGAAAGAACAAAAAATAAAATGACTGTAGATCTCACTGTGATTTGTCTGTATTCAAATGTAGACCCGTGAGATTTGCTTCAGTGTAAATGCAGTTCAGTGTGACTTGTTTTCATCAAAATGCAGACCTTTTAATTAATTGTATTTGTACCCACAGCCCAGGCTGAGCTGGAGGCAGAGGAGGTGATTCCCTGGCTGCTGTCCTTACAGGAGATGGACAAGTTGCTGCCTTATCATGGACATTCCAAACCAGACTACATCATCGTTTTACTGCCTGCATTTGGACACAATCTGTATCTAAATCTAACACGGGACGTTGCAGTTTTTCCAAAGAACATTGTTGTGGAGGAGAGGTTCAGGAACCAAAGTGTGGTGGTCAAACATTTAACTATGAACCAACATTGCTTTTACTCTGGCTTCATCATCAACCAGATGGACTCTGTGGCATCACTGAGCACCTGTGGTGGTTTGGTAAATCATTCTTGTGTTTTTGGACACAAATGTTCATGGTATTCGAAACAAGCAGCTAATATGCAGATGCTTCCAATTTAGTTTGATTGAACAAACTGAATGGATTGAATTGCATTGATCTGAAACCCAACCAACACGCATGTTTCCCCAGCATCACATGAACTCTTAAATTCATTTTCAATTAAGTTTATTTATATAGTGCCAAATCACAACAGAAGTCATCTCGGTGTGCTGTACAACAGCTTTCATATAAATTATAAAAGCCAATTAGTAAAAGTTCTCTATCTAAGGAAGTTAGCAGATTACATTGAATCTTCATCACAGTCTCCAATCCTGAGCAAGCACAAAGGAGACAGTGGAAAGGAAAAACTCCTTAACAGGAATAAACCTCCAGCAGAATCCGGTTCAGGACGAGTGGCCATCTGCTTCGACTGGCTGGGGTTTGAGAGGACAGGAAGTAGAAACACATAGAATGATAGGTCCAGTTGTACTTTCTATTGATGGAAAAACAAAAAACACATGTTAAGGATAGAAATAATTACAAATACAAACATGTAGAGTAGAGCAAGTAAAGACAGGAGCAGAGAGGAAATGTGGCCTATTGTCCTCCAGCAGTCTAAGCCTATAGCAGTAGATCTAAGGGATAATTCAGGAAACCCAAGCTGACCCTAAATGTAATATTTATCAAAACGGATAAACTTAAACCTAATCTTAAAGTAAACTATGTGTCACCCTCACAGACTGGAAATTGGTTCTACAAGAACAGTTTTTAGAGTTAAAGTCTGTGTTTTTAGGTGAAAACTGCTGGACATACACTGTTTCCTCCAAATAATCTTTCAGTCTTTTTGTCTAGCAGGTGCAGCACATTATACTAAATTAACAACTGTGTACTTGTTTCTATTTACTCTTTTTCAGTCTCTTCCTGTTCTTAGATGCACTCTCATCCTGTTCTTGTCTCTACAGAATGGACACATTCAGATGGGTCAGGACTTCTGGTTAATCCAGCCAGTGGATCAACAGAACCCATCAACACCATTTTCTGGACTGAAGCACCGCCTGGTTCCACACCAAAGCTGGGCCAAGACCAACTCTGGACAAAACACTGACCCTCCGGTTTACTGTGGACTTATTCAAGGTCAGTGAGGAAGAAAGAGACCTGTAGAACCTGGTTTTCAGTTGTATCCAAATTCTTAAATGGGCTGGAAGCAAGCTGGTAATAAATCCAACAAAATTGTATTTTTCAGTACAGAAAGAGCAGACAATTGATTAAGAACAAAAACTTTAAATTATTCACACAACAAAAAGAGTCAAAGGTCATCTAGTCTATCGTTTTACAGAGAGAAAGGTTATTGACAGGTGGAGACCATTTCAGACAGCTTACAATCTTCCCATCAGATTCACCCTGAAGGTCAGACCATGTTATGCTCCAACTGTTTAAAAAGGAGGGGGGGGGGGGGGGGGTGTCTCACTGATGTTTTTTCATCTGAGGTACTTCAAGCATTGCCAGCACTGGGCTGTTTGTTATGGGTCCGTTTGTTCTTGTAGGAGGTGGCATGGAGCGTACGTGGCTAGGGCTGATTCTGTCTCAGTTTGCTGTTGTTGGACTAGTCAGTTGTGATTCTGGAGAGTTTAGACTTCAGTCAGCTTGGTCTGCCCAAATGTTTAGGAAAGTGTAAAGGTAAGATTGGTGTGAGTGCAGCTCAGCATTGTCTATTTTATGAGAACTGATGGGGGTTGTTCCCTTCAGCTGGGAGGGGTTTTATTCTTGTGACTGTCTGTTTGTGGAAGAGAAACAAAAGAAGAAGAGCTCCATCCACAAGAGTCGCATGAAGAGAGACGTCCTGAACTTGGACCAAACATACACTGTGGAGACTGTGGTGGTGGCAGACTCTGATATGGTGCAGTTCCATGGAGCTGAAGGGGCTCAGAGGTTCCTGCTTACTGTCATGAACATGGTAGGACATACACACACACACAGTTATATGTATCCTGATGTATACATTAGATTTAATTTTCCAACAGGACTTTGCACTTGCACACAGTGTAAATCTACCAGTACCTGGTTTAAGGACCATGGTATCCCTGTTCTTAATTGTCCACCAAACACTCCTGACCGTATCCCCATAGAAAACCTATGTAGTATTGTGAAGAGGAAGATGCGATACGCCAGACCCAACAATTCAGAAGAGCTGAAGGTCACTATCAGAGCAACCTGGGCTCTCGTAACACCTGAGCAGTGCCACAGACTTATCGATTCCATGCCATGCTGCATTGCTGCAATAATCCAGGCAAAAGGAGTTCCAACCAAGTATTGAGTGCTGTACATGCTCATACTTTTAACTTTTTGTGCTTGCAGTCAACCTACTTCACATATGGGGGGGAGGGGGGGGGGGCACAATATTATAGGCAGAAACATGGGTGTGCTATGGGGTCTCCAGTTTCTTTTTTTGTTGCCAACCTGTACATGGAGGAGGTAGAAAAGAGAACCTTGGCATCCTTTTCAAGGATACCACCAGTTGGTAGTGGTTCAGGTATGTTGATGACACCTGGGTTAAAATTAAATCTCAGGAAGTCCAACATTTCATTGATCACATCAACTCTGTGGATAACTATATAAAGTTCACACGTGAAGATGTAATAATGGCAGGTTGGCTTTCTTGGACTCTGAGGTCTCAGTCTCTGATGGAGGACATTTGCAAACTGATGTGTACTGCAGTGCACACCCACCCACACAGACCAGTATTTGCAGTTTGACTCCCATCACCCTCTGGAGCACAAGTTAGGAGTCATCAAGACTCTGTACCACAGAGCAGACAGCATCCCCTCTAACTGGACCTTCCTGAAAGCAGAGAAGAAACCCAGACAGGACTCCAGTCAGCCATCAGGTAAAAAGGAGGAACCCAGACCAGTGGTCATTCTGTATGTTGCAGGAGTTTCAGAGAAACTGAAACATTTTTTTTCTAAACATGAAATCCCAGTGGCGTTCAAATCCAAAAATATGAGTCTTACATCGGGGAAACTACAGTGAACAGCCACTGGCCAAAAGGATGGCCCAGCAGATGATCAACATCATCAGGCCAAGACTCTGTGGTTTACACTCATCTGCAGGCCAGCAGTCACTCTTTCAGGAATGAAGATGAAAATTCTAAATCCTGCTCGTCTTCAGCAGACTGTCTGGATGATTTCAATGGATGACGATGATGATGTATTTACAATCATATTTATTGCTGTAGGTTTGTAGGGTAAAACTGCTCACCTTGTTCTGCTTTATTTAGGTTAACAACCTGTTTCAGCATAAGAGTCTGGGAGTCCGGATCAACATACAAGTTACTAAGCTGCTGCTGCTTCACAAGCGTCCTGTAAGTCTCACTCTCTCCACTTAATGTAACATTTGGGGGGTTTCTGCAATACTTCAACAAAACAAACAGAATGCAAAATATATAACAAAACACAGAAAAAAACAGAACAAGATGACAGAACACAACTGTACATAATACAGAACAACAAAAAATACTATTTGACAGTGTCAATTTTATTTCTCAGTTTGATTTATAAACACTTTGGAAATAACAACGTTGACTAAAGTGCTTCACAAACAGGAAATCTAGCAATAAAACAAATAAAAGATCAAACATTAAAAAACATAAGTATAATAAAAAGTACAAGAACAAACTAACCTAAGAGGTTTTGATGGAACTCAAAGCAAACTTGAATTAAAAACCAGTCGTTACAACCGGCAAATTGCTTGTTGCGCCAGGTTGTGGGCGTTTCCACCCTCTGCACACCTCAAGCAGCCACGGAGTCAGATGAAAAGCTTAACTGTTTATTTACAAGGTGAATGAATGATATTGAATATTAGAATATAGTAAATATCAGAATTGATATTTACAAAGGAGTCTTACCAGACTTCAGCAGGGTGAGCCTCAGGCCAAAATAACAAACAAAATGGACTATTTTTATTCCTATTTTTGTCACTTACCTAACAAATCAAAAGTAACAAAAATACAGGTTTCTTACCTGTCCTAAACTAACAAAAACAGGAGAAAAAGCTCAACTAAAATGGCAGCTCACCCCTACAAGAACTCCTTACAAGACTATACTAATTTCTGTAAACGACGGACAGCAGTTCAGCTGTGGCAGGTTGGGACACGCAGAGTAAATGGAAAAAGATTTGTAGGCTCAATCATCCAGGTAGAGAACACAAACAAGGTTAAATCATTTCATCTGGACCAGTTTCTTGAGCCGTTGTCATCTCCAACTCAGCTCCTCTTATGCAGCACCTCCAGGCAGACAGCCAATCACAGCTCCATTCAGCAGTGTCTTCCTCCAGCTGCGCACCTGGACACTTGTAGGGACACATCAAGGTTTTTCTATCATTAACTGTTATTCTTTTGATACTTTGGAAGTAAGACTGACTCTCCATTCACAAAGCTGTACAGTAAGGAACCACGTTATCATATAAGATGAATAACATAAAACCTGTTATTGTAATTAATTGCACACCTGGTATTCAGATTTCAGCAAAGCTGAAAGGCCCTTTTGTATGAGAACTTTTCCATCTGACCTGTGAAATATAACATCTAAAACATACGCTTATCTCTTCCGAAAAGGGAGGATTCATCCTCCAGTTTTAGAGTGTGAGAAAGACCCCATTGTTTTTCAAGGACTCTTCTTTCCATCTCACGGTAGAAATCATTTCTTTAACAAGTTAAATGTCTGAGTTCTCCTGAACACAATTGAAAGTTTTGCTGTAAAAATGGCTAAGTTTATTTACTTTCTAAGCTCAATACTCAGTAATCATGCATAAAGGAAGTGCTATGAAACTGGTGTTCAGAAGTTACAACTGTGTGCATAAGATCTAATGAAAATATTTATGGATGAGTAAAAAGCTGCTTAGAAGTTTGATTATTCTGTTATATTGAGAATTTACCAAAGCAGAGTAAATTAGCCATTTAATATTTTTATTAAGGTTATTAAATTCAACAGTAACTTGAAAGAAGGTCCACCCTTCTGTCGTGATTGGCTAGACCATCACATGGTAACGCCTCTAAGTCAAAGAAGTTTATTTCCTGACATTTGGCTTAGAACAGTCTGGAAGAAGCTTTTGAAGAAGTAAGGTCAAACAAGTGGATATTTATTGCCAGAAGATCTTTGCCACCAGAAGGAGAAAACGCAGCCCTCCGGGAGCTCATCAACCGACCCCCCTCGGGAGCCAACTTTCGACTCTAGATTTCAGCTGATTTCCAGTGGCGAGGGAAATCCCACCTTCGACACTATAATTCATCTCAAGAGTTCTGGTGACCCTCCGGGCGGTTGAATTGCAGACCACCTTCCAATCGGTAGGAAAAAGCTGCTCAGGTTTTCTCTGCTGGTGTCTGATGTCCCAGATAAGAAGTTGTCCACTATAAAAATTTCATCATTATTAATTAGAATTAAGTTCTCCTAAATTGACAAAACACATCTAGCCAAAACACTTCATTTAGCTAACTTTATAGATGATAATTTACTCTGCTTTTGAACCTCATAATTTTATCATATTAAAGTTTAAAAGATAACTCCATAACCTTGTGTTGTCAAAGTAAGCCATCATTCATTCTGCAGCTGTATTCACCGTTTGATCACTTATATTCACCAAAATTGATAATAAATCTCACAAAATTGTACTTTGACTCAAAGCGTTTTTATTATATATGACATTTTTGAATTTAATACGAAAATAATTCACTAGAGCACTAAACTTGAGTCTGATTGAGTAATATTAATTTTCTGACTTTAGAACCAGAAGCCAGCGGTGCCCCTTCAAAATAAAATTACTCATAAAAATTAAACGATCTAAGGACTGTTAATCTTACACACTAATTGGCACAATTAGAGCTTTGCACACTCACACACACAATTTACGACAGCAGTCGTAACACAGTGTAAAAAAGTGAGATTTTAGGTGCGATTAAAAGGACTGTACAGACTGAATGAATATCGATGGGCGTGGAGTTCCAGAGTCTGGGGGCTGCCACATTAATATCTCGGTCCCCTCTATCCTTTAATTTAGCTGTTGGCTGCACTAAAAGCATCCAACTGTACAATCTAGTGCTTTGGGTTGTAAACGTGGAAAAGATCCAGTAAATAACTAGCTACCAAACCCCACTTAGGCCTTGATTGTCCTCCGGCTGTTTCTGTGAGTAACAAGTTGGCCATCTGGCCTAAAACATTTGATTGTTGTACATGATGATTGATTGATTTGGATGGGTATGTTTTGTGTTAAATGTCTACTTTTGAGTAGGAGTTGGCTTGAAACATAGCAGTGAAGGCTACCTATGGGACATATCTGGTTGGCAGGCTGTAGACTGAGGAAGTCCTCTGGATGGGGGACGAAACGTTGCTCACTTAAAGAAACTGGTCCAGATGACACGATTTAACCTTTTTTGTTGTTATCTACCTGAATGACTGAGCTTACAAGCTTTTTTTTTAGGTGCAAAATCATTTAAAACTTTAAAATTAAGTACAATAATATTAAAATCAATATGAAAATGAACAGAAGTTCAGTGTAAATCTGCTAAAACAGTACTGATGTGGTCCTGCTATCTGGTTCCTGTTAAAATATGACAGCAGTGTTCTGCACTCACTGCAGGCGATGGAGAAATGTTTGTTCTGATCCAACATATAGAGTTGCAGTTGTCCAGTCTGGTGGTGATGAAGGTGTGGATAAGAGTTTTGAGGTCTTTAGGAAGAACATAAGATTTTTCTTTGGATATTAGATGTAACTGATAAAAGCTGGTTTTGACAACAGAGGGTATTTGCTCATTGAGTTTAAAAGAACTGTCTAAAAACACGAAGATTTTTGACAGAGGAGGAACAGTGAAAAGCACGAGGGCCGAGAATTTCAGCACACACAGGAGTCTGATTTCCAAATAAAACAGCTTCAGTCTTGTTTCCACTCAAGGCCAGACAGTTCTGAAATAGCCTGTTTTAACGTCCTTTAAACAGTTAAACAGATGCTGCAGTGGGGCAGAGAACTCTGATTTAAAAGATAAAAATATTTGGATGTCGTCAGCATAGCAATTAAAATGAATGTTGTAAAGGCAGCATGTATAAACAGAACTAAATAGGAATCAAAATGGACACTTGAGATACACCACATGAGTAGGTGCCGACGAAGAAGAATATTCCTCCATAAAACTGAAAAACAGAGCCTTTATTTTTTTTTCATTCAACCTTTATTTACACAGGTTAGTTCCCATTGAGCCTCGAGGACTTATTTACAAGATAGACCTGTTATATGCAGACATACACAGTAGATAAGGAAAATAGAACATGAGAGAGTGGAGGAGGTAAAAAAAACAATATATCATACCATGTCCTGGCCAGGGCACAGTGTGAAAGTTGCAAAAAAAGACCTCGCAACATAAACAGGAACATGCAATGACATCATAACACATTTATGCATGAGGTCAACAAAGACGGTGAGTTGTCCGTGGACACTGCCAGAAAGTACCATAGTCCTGATAAGATGGTACAGTGTCTATCAGTGGTTCAGTTCTAATGAGGCCCACAGGTGTCCTCGGGAGAGGGAGGTAGGAGGAGGGGAGGAGCAGCAGAGCATCATTATTCACATAACTTCTGGGAGAAATTTGAGATAGCTGGTCTATTCAAGGCCAAGCAGGGAAGCCAGATTTGATAACAATTGTTTTGGGACAGGCAGATTTTTCTTAAGTTTTTTTTTACATCTGCCTTCTGCTCGTACTTCTCATTGTGGAATCCGAACAGCCAAATTTTGTGGTCATTCTGCTGGGCCTTGCTTGTAGCCTTCCCCAAGGTCGAATCCTTCACGCCAACGAGTTCCAGAAGCTGCAAGTGGCCTGCGATTCTCAGAAATCGCGTCCAGCTTACGGCTTAGCTCGAAAAGCATCTTAGCCTGGGTGCTCCAAGTGCTCCAAGTTCCTTCATACATGACAGGCAGCTTCAAAATTGCCAGATCCGCTGTCGACGTCGTCCGAATTTGCGATATGCCAAAAACCCGCAGATTCCAAAAAGCAGAAATCCCGCTATCATAAATCCAATTATGTATGCGTCTTCTACGTCTTCAACGGACAATACACAGAGACACACCATCTTCCACTGGCCCCAAGAATCCATGGTGTATCCCGAAGCGATACACAATGTCCCTTCAGGGCAGGAGGGCTCTCCTTCACCCTGTCTTCTCCTAGGGTTTGTGACAAGTTCTGATACCAGAAAGTCCATTTTAACTGTAGCATCACATTTTTCCTTTGTTTATTCAGGTTATAAAGTGAATAAACGAGAAGGGTTCAGAGTATAGGAATAAATAAGGTTCTGCTTCTTTGTCTTTATGTCATCAGGAAAACTTGTTTGTGAGTCATCATGGACAAAGGTCTCTGGAAAGCTTCTGCCGCTGGCAGCATCAGGAGTTAAGGGTGCCTCAGAACCTTGGGCCCAACCAGATCACTGGTGGGAGGTTTGACATTCCTTCATCAGATACTGCTGTGCTGGTCACCAGGTAAGAAGTTTGTACTTCCTCGGGTATATCAAGGTTCAATGTGACTTCATTGTCATTCACTTCACATGTGGTACATGAGGTGGAACAAAATTGTGTACTCAAGGTCCCAGTTACACCAAAAAATGGCAAAAATATAAATTATAAAAAGAAAACCGTATACAAGGATCTAAGATATATGCGAAACAATAATAATATAATACGGTGTGTTAAACAGCAGCCTGAACATGAGTCTGTTGTGAGCAGATGGGTATGAAAACAGTATAGCAGCTTATGGGTAAGAAATCGGCAGCATGGATATGAATTTGACTCTAGGTTCAAAACCCAGCACCAGCACACATTCTTCACGCCAGGAAAAATGTGAATATATTCAGGATGGTTTGAAGACATTCTTATATGGTCTGGGACTTTTTTGTCTAAGTTCTTTGTTAAACTGGACAGAAATCCATCCTGGGACACATTGAAAGATTAACCATTTACCTAATGTGACTCCATGGAAGCAATGAAATTATCAGCCGGGTTTGGAATCAAAATTTCTGCTTTTACTTCTTGAAGTAAGGATGAGGATGAGGATGCAGAGGAAAGAGTGAGATGGAGGAGGATGACTCACTGTGGCGACCCCTGCAGAGGGAAAAGCCGAAAGAAGAAGAAGATTTCTTGAAGTATTTCATCTCCTGTTCTAACCCCTTAGCCCTGGTATATACAGTATGTGAGCCCTTTATATTTGGATCAATTTATTATAGTCAACTGGACAGAGAAATTGCCAAATTCCCTCTTTGTGAAGAATCAGTGCATATGTATCTCCAAAAACCTACATACCCACATATTTGTTTCATAACTTTCACATACACACTCAGTCAGTCTGTGTTTTAACAGGTCCCGAGCAAAATAACCCCAAACTTGTCTTGCTAGAATATCTGGTTCAAATTACATCCTCACTGTCCTGGAAATAACAGAACATCAGTTCACGTGCACATTTCCTGCAGATAAGCTTCCTCTAACCTTCCTGGGCCATTGCAAGCTCTTGGCTTTTTGTATGATGCACATATTTTGGCTTTAAAAGTACTTCATTCCCTCCTCTGAGAGAAGTGATCTCTTATCAACTAACTTTATGAACTGTATGAATTATGAATTATTACCTAACCCCAAAAATTATGAATGACAAAAACATTATTGATGACTTAACACAACAGGCCTAGATAAGGCATTGCCCTGAAAAATGACAGAGATGTTTGTCTTCATGAACAAATAGAAATGACTGAAAACAAAAAGAAATATATTAGACTAATTTCCTTTACCGAATCAGCTTTAGTCAAAATGCTTTCCCACAGTGTAAACAAACAGAGGGCTTAAGGCAAAAATATAAACATAAAAATAAACATCTACTCCCAGAATCCCTCGCTCTCTAAAAGAAGCCTCTTACCTCTTGTAAACATAAACTTTCTAAATCTGTTTCACCTTCATTCACTACTGACCATCCTTGTGATACTGTAGTACCTCCACCCAAAAAGCATCAGAATATCCATGTAAGTATTCCCCCCTGCTATATTTAATTGCCTGAACCAATATTGAAAAAAACTAACATATCCAGAGATTGTTCACGTGTAAAGAGGGCCTCAGAGTGGAGGCTTTAGAAACACAAAGGATCAGTGTGAAACTACACATGCACACTATGGAAAGCTGCAGTCAGTAGGTTTTATGCACTTAGTGAGTTGATGAACAACAGTAACAATGGAGGGTAGCGGAGTGCATTTTGTCTTTCTAACTCTTTTCAACTTGTCAGAGCTTCTGATATGAAACTTCTATGTGCTACACTTGGAACAGCGGTCAGAACTAACAAACATCAATTTTTGTATGAACTTGAATGTGAAAAAAAACAATGGAAGTACCGGTACTTGTGGACTTCAAAAAGTTAAGTCAAACTTTACTTACATCCTTTGGAGAAGAGTTGGAGGGCTGCAAATACAAGTGTTAACCTGAACTGGACTTGACTAAGGCTCTTTACAAGGCGGGACAGACCAGACTGTTTCCTGTAAAACCTAGTCACCAGAGTTTGAAACCAAATGTTGGATATCTTCTGTCAACATGTGGTAAATTGAACAATTTTCCTCTGGTTTCTGTTTCAGAACAGATTTCTGTGTTCATAAAAATGAACCCTGTGATACTGTTGGTGAGTAGCATTAGTGTTTTATTTTTCTGGCTTTCTTGCTTTTTTGTTTGTTTGTTTTTACCGTGAAAACTATGTAGTAATGTAGTAGCCAGCCACTGAAACCAGCCACTAGAGAACACAAGCAAGTATCTCTTGTTGCACTCCCAAGCCTGGGTAAATGGTGAGGAGTGTGTCAGGAAAAGCATCCAACATAAAACACTTTTGCCAAGGCCAGCAAGTGAGTTCACCCAAGCAACAGCATACTGAATTGGTGGAAGCACTGTTTATTAAAGACCGCCACTGGTGCTGTTGACAAACAGGGTACTGGTGGACATTGTGCTACTGTTACTCGGAGATCACGAGGAGGGAAACATGTCAGGAGAAAGGGGAGAAGAGGAAAGTCAAGAATGTAGGACTGAGGACGGCATATGACATATATATATATGTGTGTGTGTGTGTGTGTGTGTGTGTGTGTGTGTGTGTGTATATATATATATATATACATACATACATAATGAATTTTATAAACATGTCAATATTTCATATGAACTTGTTTATGTCTGTTTTACAGGTGTTGCTTATCTGGGTGGGATTTGCAGCGCAAGGAGGAATTGTGTGGTAGCAGAAGACAATGGCTTAAGTTTGGCTTTCACTATCGCTCACGAGTTGGGCCACAAGTAGGTCATGTTTGATTGCAAATGTTAACATGTCCAATTTTTATCTTGTTGCAGTGAAAATATATTGTTTGCTGCACATCATGGATCATGAACCAGCTCATACTACTCTGGGTCAAACAGGTTGTGTAGGGCACTAGTAGTTTGTCAGAGTCTGCTTTTTCCTCAAAATTTAAAAACTATAGAAACACAGCTGTACCTTTTTTAACAGTGTGATATTTGTTTTTAACCAAACATTTCCATCCATCTGCACACCAGAAACAGTATAATCACCAACCTTCTCTGCTGAATCTGTGTTTAGAAAAACCTTTTTTTTCTTTCATCAGCCTTTGTTTTTTTTTTGTGGGGTATTGGGTTCAGAATCGGGTTGTCCTATTTAAGCACTTTCACAAAACAGTTCAGCGAAAAGGCCACAAAACTGGTCCTTTTTTAGTTGATGAATCACTAATGGAGTCTCTTGTCACTAATGGCCACATCCTGCAGAGATGTGAACTTTCAGAAATGAAGCAGCGAATGCGTGGAACAGAACTCACCTGTGTTGGGATGCAACAGTTTATAATAAAAAAGTCTTTTTTTTTTCTTTCTTCTTCTGGTTGCTCCCTTCTTCAGGGGCCACCGCAGTGAACTAAGTCGCACTAAGACTTGGCAATTGTTTTTTTTATGGCAGATGCCTTTCTTGACACAACCACAGACCACCGAGCTACCACATCCCTCTGTGTGGAGCAGAGAGGTGCTATCTAGGGCACCCAGAGGAGCAGAGGGTGGGGTTTAAGGGCCTTGCTCAAGGGCCCAGAGTGGGACAAATGAGGCTGGAGGCAGGTGTGGGCGTTTCACCTTTCCCACCCACACTTTGATGTTGTCGGTACCGGGAGTTGAACCAGAGATCTTCCAACTACATACCCACCTTCTCTAACCTCTGCACCACCACTCGGACAAATTTCTTGAAAGAAGAGCGGCTCTAATCAAAAAGTGGGATGGATGCCATCTCTGCATCAGATCAGGTTTTCCCCATAAAGCACTCCAGTTATCTACGTTGTATTCAGGACACCACCTGGAGAGCCAGCGGTTGAACAACAACATTCAGCTTAACATATCGTTGATGGTCAGATTGGGGAGGGGACTATGGGTTGAACGACTAGATAATTTTAAAACTCGACATTAACATAATAAAACTCGAGTAGAACTCGAGTAGTTGATGTCATAGGATCTCAAGATGCAAAAATAAATAAATAAATAAATAAAACGGCAAAAAAAGAAGTCATTATTTACAAAAAAAAAATAGACCAACAAAACATCGGGAGCATATATTATGCTCCTACCATTTATCATACTGCAAATAAGTCACAGGAAAATCAAAACTATTAGTTATTATTATTAAGCTGCAAAAGTGAAAAAAACGTCCAGCACATAAAAAACAAAACTAAAAACAGTGGGGCGGTCGACCACCCCGCACCACCGCCCGCAGTGTTGCACATTAGGTTTAGTTTTAGAGATTAATATGTTTATAGGTTTTTTTATAGGTTTAGAGATCAATATTTTTTGCTTTTTGTTTTTGAAACAAGGTCAGAAGGAAGCTGGTTCTGATTCGGTCGATTGGACCCGGTGTTACACCATATTCTGTGACCTGCAACAGTGCATGCAACACCGACCCTACGGTCACAATATACGGTGGTCACAGAATATGGTGTAACACCGGTTCGCAACGAGTTCCAAACAGTCAGGAAGTTGATTCATTTTCTGTTTCCTTACAGTAGCGGAACTGGAAGATTCATCTTTAGTGAAATATTTCCATACTACTGATGTATTTCTACCTGTTTGCCAAGACTGGGCCTGCTCCGCTCCATCTGTCTGCTTGGAGGAATCCATTTTGTAACCCACGCCCGGTGTGGATCACGTGACGCAATGATGTAACTGCGACGTAATGACGTCACCACGAGTACTCGACGTGAAATTTAAAAACTCAATAGATGTCCTAGGAATCGATGTGTAGATTACTCAAGTAGTCTGTTAAAGCCCTAGAGGGGACCAGAGAAAACTACGGAGTCTGATATAGTTTTTCAAAGTTACACACCAAAGCAACATTCATTTTAGTGTCCTCCAATTGACATAACCAGGTGTCATTACCGCCTATGTGAATAACAATCCTACTGCATTTAGCTTTAGCCTTAGCCAGCAGTTTCAGAAAGGATTTGATGTCGTCCACTTTGGCCCCTGGAATGCATTTGACTGGTCACTGGTGTTCCTAAAGCCACGTTTTGGGCTATGGAGCTGTCAAATAAAAGGCACAACAAAGGTGGACTGACCAACATGCCACCTCAGTCTGTCCAAAAATCACTCCCAAGACGCCCAGAAAGTGTCGCAAGTTCCTGCTTGAAGTGTTTTGTGAAAGTGCCTATTAACACCACCAATACTCTACCTGCCTTGTCTCTATTACCAAATCATTCCCTTCAAAACTAACCCCTACCCACCCCGCAAACCTAATTTTTATATACGTTGTCCACATCATCCAGGTTGCCAAATAATGTGCCTGTTTAACTTCAAAGTTTGTTCAAGTTTGTTCAGTTTAGGTTTGGACTGTAACACAAGTTTTTAAATGCTACTGTTTTATGTGCACAAACTCCAGACATAAATATTTAGTGCCTGCAAATCAGTTTTAAAACCTTTTAAAATAAATTTGTGCTTTGTTCATGTGTACTTTTAGGTAGGAATTTGTGTATGTAAAAAAAATTTTGTTGTAAAAAATAATCTCATGGTACAAATCATTTTTATGTAGGTCCGTTTACAGATACAGTTAAAAAACTTTGTGTAAAACTGCATGTGATTTTCATTTTGCAAGTATGAATTTTGATCGGATGTTTTTTCCTCTCAGCTTAGTCAATGTCGGGGTCGGGAGGTGGGCAGAGGCATTTTACTTGTCTTAGCATTTGCTTGTTTTCAACACTACCGGTATCTCATTGTGTGATTATAGCTCATCCACTAATCTTCATTACATAAAACTGTAGTAGCAAAATTACACAACTAAATACCTGAATAAAAAACCACAAAGTAATAGTAATCTTACCTTTGATCAAGCTTTTGCTACTGTGGTGATACCGAGTGGTTCTCATTAATATTATACTATTTATAAGGCACACCAGTTCGTAGATCTTACAAAAAAATACTTGGGACATCAGAGACAGGCTTGCAAATTTAGAAAATAATTTATTAATTTCAATTTTTATAAATACTTTTTAAATACAGTTTAAATACTGTAACAAATCAAATACTCATTTTAAAAGTTAGTCTAGACCCAGGTCTGTGGCTAATTACTCATGCCACTGACACGAGTGCTCAGGTACCTCGCCCCAAACAATTAGCTGTGAAGAAGTCCAGTGAAGCAGCCACAGGCATCTGGAGACAATTAAGTGCAATGATCTGGAGAACCCAAACCGCAGTAGTCCTCCGTAGAGACAGAGAAATGGTAATTTTCCATAGAGACAAACGGGTAACCCCAGGGAAGACAAAACAACAGTGATCTTCCGTAGAGACAAAACAGCAGTGGTCCCAACTTCAGCAAAGGACCTATAAAATTCAGTCAATTAATCACTATCAAACAGTATTAAATTTGATGCTGACAATGAGAGTTGGGACTCAACTACTCACCTGCTGACACACACATGCAGACTCTCACACACACAGGAGGAGGAAAGCAGCAAGCCTGGCGTTCACCTGCGATCACACTAAGATGAGCACGCTATAAAGATAATCTATAATGCAAACAAAAAAGGACACCTACCCCATGAAGGCCATAACAGCACACACAACATGATCGACTGCTCAGCCACAACCAACCCCACAGGTTGCAAGCCACCTAGTGGGAGCAAGAGGAAAACGGGTGCCAGAATGAGCATTACCGCCTCCTTTTATACTCCGCCTACCTCGTTTACGAGGAAGTGAAGTTTCTCTAGCCAGGTATATTTCCATACTGCTACACTACAAAGACGAGTGTACTCCCCTGGCCGTCAACACCTCCGCACAACAGCATTGTTGGTCACACCAGATCATCATTGTGCACCGCAATGCATTACCCATCAGGGTGGGTCACGTGACTGAAAACTATCCAAAGTAACCAAACGTGATTTTCAGAAATGTACCGGTATATCTGGACAGTGATTTTGTTTTTGTTCCACTAAACCATAAAATAATTCTATTCCAGGACTCACGGCTTAGTAAAGTGCCCTCGCATGCCCCCCATGCCCCCAAAAGCCATACCCATCTGTCTTTGAATGGATTGTTAAATTTGTGATTGACATGACATTGACCAGTCAGCTGAGAGGAAGAAACATCCAGTCAAAATTTGTACTTGCAAGTTGAAACTCACATGCAATATTACATATAGTTTTTTTTATTGTATCTGTAAACAGACTTTCATAAAAAAGATTTGTAACGTGTAATTATTTTTTTACAAATACAATTTTTTTGAACACACCAATTCCTATCTACACATGCACAAACACAAATTTATTTTACAAGATTACAAAACTAATTTACACGCACAAAATATTTATGACCAGAATTTGTGCCCATACTGTTAATCTATCCATGTGTCATCTTCAGCATGGGAATGAATCATGATGACCATCATACTAACTGCACAAGTCACTCACATATAATGTCTGGTGAGTGGATAAAAGGTAGAAACCCCAGCGAACTCTTCTGGTCATCCTGCAGTCGCAGCGACGTGAAGAAATTTCTCAGGTAAAAATCTGGTAATTTATTTAGTGTGTGCCTTATTGAAAGTGTCTCTATCTTATACTAATTAAAACGCCAATGTAAACTTGCATGTATCAATTCAGCCGTTATCTTCTGCTTGTTCTGAAGTCGGGCTGTGGGGGCAGCAGTCTAAGCAGAGAGACCCAGACATTTCTTTCCCCAGCCACCTCTTCCAACTCTTTTGGGAGGACCCCAAGGCATTTCCAGGCCAGTCGAGAGACATAGTCTCTCCAGCATGTCCTGGGTCTTCCTCAGGGTCTCCTCCCAGTCAGATATGCCCAGAGCGCCTCCCTAGGAAGGCGCCCAAGGGTCATTTTCACCAGATGCCTGAACCACCTCAACTGGCTCCTCACTATGTGTTCTTGCACATAGGTGAGGGTAGGAATGTAGACTGACCGGTAAACAGAGAGCTTTGCCTTACAGCTCAACTTCCTCTTCTCTACAACGGACTGGCACAGAGTCTGCAATTCTGCAGATGCTGGACTGATCATTCTGTCAATTTCATGCGCCATTCTTCTCTCACTTGTTAACAAAACCCTGAGATATTTTAACTCCTCTCCTTGAGACAGAACCTCATTCCCAACCTGGAGAGTGCAATCCACCCTTTTCTGACTAAGGGCCATTTCTTCAGATTTGGAGGTCCTGATCCTCATCTGAGCCACTTTGCACTTGGCTGTGAACTGCTTTAGTGAGAGCTAAAGATCAGGGCACAATGACACCTACAGGACCATATCATCTACAAATAGCAGAGACAGACTCTTGAAGCCATCAAATCAGACTTCCTCTGCCCCCTGGCTGCACAGCGAAATTCTGTCTATAAAGTTATGAACAGAATTGGTGACAATGGGTAGCTGTGGCTGAATCCAACTCCTATCCTGAAGGAGTCCGCCCTATTGCCGGCAATGGCACCACTTGAATAGGGACTGAATGGCTGGTAGCAATAGGTCCCCAATCCCATACTTGCAGACCCCCCCCCCCCCCCCCCCAGTTTACCTCAAGGAACATAGTCAAATACCTTCTCCAAGTCCACAAAATACATGTAGACTGAATGAGGAAAGCTCCCATGACCCCTCAAAGTCCCTAGTGAAGGTAAAGAGCTTTTCCAGTGTTCCACAGTCAGGGGGAAAAAAAAAAAAAACTGCATTGTTCCTCCTAAATCTGAGTTCGACCATCGATCAGACTAACTTCTCCAGTAACCCTGAATTTACCTTACCGGGGAGACTAAGGATAGTGATGTGCCTATAATTGGAATACACCCTCCAGTCTCTCTTTTTGAAGAGAGGATCCACTACTCCAGTTTGCCATTCCAATGGCACTGCCTCTGATGTCTATGCAGTGTTGCAAAAGTCTGTTATCCAAGACAGCCCAGCAGCATCCATAGCCTTGAGGAACTTAGAGCAGATCCCCTCTTCAGTGCACATCAAGAGTCTCTATCCAAGCTTCACTGAACTATCAAATTATTAAAAAATATATAATGTGGTTTTGTATTATACAGAAAAAAAACCATATACTGTACTAATAATATGTTTCCTTATTATCAGATCTGAAGCCAGTAGCTGTCTTTGGCGCACAGACCCCAGAAACCCTCCCTGGGTCCCTCTGTCCTCCAAAATGCCAGGGATGCACTACAGTGTTGCTGAACAGTGCCAGATCCTGTTTGGAACTAATGCCACATTCTGCTCTGAAATGAAGGTACACATTCTATTTCATTCCTTCATTATTATGTTCAGATAAAGCTTCTTCCAGCCACTAGGGAGCACAAACCACAGTGTCTTTTGTGTCGATCCCAAGCTCTGGTAAATGACGAGGATTGTGTCAGGAAGGTCATAATAATAATAATGCTTCTTTTTCTTTTTTTTTTTTTTTGCTGTTGCCACCTTTTAAGGGGGTTTCATGGATTTGAGTTCAGAAGCAAACCAGGGAGTGGAATGAGTGAAAGTAACAGACCATGTTTTAACTGGGGCAAGAGAGATGATGATATTACCGGTAGTTAGATTATTATTATATTGAGCAGCCAGTAAGTCAAGTGTTAGAATAGGTTCAGGGGTCAGAGTACAGGCAATGGTAGTAGAAAGGGAATCCTAATTAATGTTTTTAATGTTACTGAATGAGATTAGCCGGGCTTCCTTGGTTGAGGAGAAACAAAGTGGGACATTTAATGAATGAAAAATGATCAAAAAAGGAAAGTTCACCAGCGTTGCAGTCAACAGGGATGAGGTTGGAACAATTTAGGTTCATTGTATGTCCTTTGATGTGGGCAGGAAAATCAGCAAATTGATGGAACCCAAAACTCTCAAGGTAGGATAAAAAGTAATTGGCAAGTGGAAGATTAGAAATGTCAGTTTGAATGTTAAAGTCTTCAGTACCATAACATTAGGTGATTATGTCCTGAAGTATGCTCAATAATCCAGGTAGATTAATCTAACAAGGTTAAGTCAGGTCCTCTGGATGGATTCTTCTTTGTTGAAACGTTTTATCTTTTATAAAATAAAATAAAAAGTAGAAAAACAACTGTATCGAGTGTATTTGTGTACTAGAATGCATAACTGTACAAAACATAGATAAGTCCACTAAATTAAGACTCCTCGAGCAAGAAAATTACACCAGATACCAGCAGAGAAAACAGGAAGTGACGCTATACACCTTACTGTGAACATCCTCCCCAGTCCACAAGACTCAACACAAGATGTGTCAAATTGCTCCCTCTTCTTGCCAGGATTTTGCCAACACTAAAGTTCATTTTGTGAATTAATTCCTGGTTTGACTGGCTTGTTGTAGGTGTGACTGTGGTGACTGAGGTTACTGGCATCGCTACAGCACATTTACACACAGCACATTCTAGGCCTTTAACATTAAACTATAATACATGTATATCTGAAAGACAAATCTGACACATATGCTTCAACCCTAACTTAAAAAAAATACAATAAAACAACTTTTATATTGAGCTTACCATGTCCATTCAACATTTTGGTTTAATTTTATTTTATTTGATGTGTTCTCCAGGATCATATGTGTGCTGGCCTGTGGTGTTTAGAAGCGGGAGAGACTTCCTGCAAGACGAAACTTGATCCTCCTCTGGAAGGAACCGAGTGTGGAACAGATAAGGTAGATCACTTTTTATTTATTGTTTTTCTTTCGATGAACAGTAATTTATCTACTAAAATATTAACCCCACAAATGTCTTTGTGTTCTTACAGTCTTTTTATTTTTTACGTAATTAATAAAAAAGTAACAGGTGTGTGAAATGATTAGAATATTTCTGTGTTAGTGGTGCAGAGCAGGAGAATGTGTCAGTAAGGCTCCCATCCCTCAACATGCGGACGGAGACTGGAGTTCATGGAGTCAGTGGAGCATGTGCAGTCGAACCTGTGGTACCGGGGTCCAGTTCAGACAGAGGAAATGTGACAACCCACCGTATGTCACGTATGCTGTATACTGTATGTGTATGTCTCTGTGTGTCTTGGTTTGTAGGTGGCTAGAAAATATGAATTGTAAGGTGTTGTTCATTAAATAATGAGCAGAGAAAGATTGAATAGGGAATAGGGTTATACAACAGCAAGGATGTGTCTGTATGTGTACCAGAACATTATAGTCTGAGGGAGAGACTAAAGTTAAGGTTGGGGATTAGGTGTTCATGAGATTTTATCTCAGTCATCTCCCACTAAAGCTCAATAGCTGCTCATGGTTTGGCATAGAGATCAATGGAAAGCACACTCAACTAGAGATTAGCTCAAACCTTGAAACATCCCACTTTAGATTTTACACTTGAGATTCTCACTTTATGTTGTGTTTTGTGCATGGATGTATCAGGTAATACTGACTGTACCCTTTAATGACTTCAAATGTACAGTGTCTGATGTAGATTTGGTAAAAAAAAAAAAAAAAAAAAAATCAGGTTTTTTTACCTGTTTGTATGTTTTGTTCTTGTTTTGGAGGGTTTAGGTTTAATGTTACTGTTGAGTTATGGTTAGGGGGGTTATAGTTAAAGATAAGGTTGGGGTAGAAAAAGAGGTTGTTTGAAAAGAGGTGAACTGGGGAATTGCATAAGCTAAAATGTTAACAAAGTGAATGGAGAGGGAAAGTGGGAGAATTAAGTTAAGTGTTAAGTTCCATCCATCCATCATCATGTTCCAGTCTTTTTTGGGGCAGCAGCTTGAGCAGGGAGGTCCAGACATCTTTTTCCACAGCCTCCTTTTCCAGCTTTTCTGGGAGGACTCTAAGGTAAGACATATGCCTCAGGGTATCCTGGGTCTTCCTCAGGGTCTCCTCCCAGTTGGACTTGTCCGTAAAACTTTACTAGTATGGTGTCCGGGGGGCATCTTTGCCAGGTATCTGAACCACCTCAGCTGGCTCTTCTGGATGTTCAACTCTGAGTCTCTCCTGGATAACTGAATTTTTCACCCTATTTCTACGGAAGAGCTACCCTGCTGAGAAAACTCATTTAGACCACCTGTATCTGTGATCTTGTTCTTTTGGTTTCTACCCAGAGTTCATGACCATAGGTGAAGATAAGAACGTAGACAGACTGGTAAACTAAGATCTTTGCGTTGCAGCTCAGCTTATTTTTCACCACAGCGGAACAGCACAGAGTCCACAATACAATGGAAGCTACACCAGTCCATCTGTCAATGTCCAGCTCCATTTTCCCCTTATTTGTGAACAAAACCCCAAGATACTTGAACTCCTCAACTTGAGGAAGACCCTCACTTCCAACTTGAGGAGGGCAGTCCACCCTTTTCCAACTGAGGACCATGTCCTCAGATTTGGAGATGCTGATACTCATCCCAGCAGTTTCACTCTTGGATGTGAACCACTCCATTGAGAACAGGAGATCATAGCATGATGACACCAACAGGATCATATCATCCACAAATAGCAGAGGCAGAATCCTGAGGCCACAAAACCATACTGTGGCTTGGTTGTTCAAGTGCCAAGTTGATTAAAAAAATGCTTATTTTATGCTGATATTTATTACAACACAAATTTTAAAGCTAAGTGCTAAGTTTCAGAGTGGGATTAAAATACTTGTGGTTGTAACCATAACCTCTGGGTTAGAAGCAAACTATTTTCTGCCTGTAGGCCACTAGTTGTGATATGTACCAGTATGAGTGATGGGCAAGATTAAACTAATAGGTTGGTCTAATGTGGACCCTTGTGATACAAGATGTGATACAAGATATAACCAAGATGTAGTTTGGTTGTGGCCATAATAATAATAATAATAAACAATATTAATATTGATAATCATCATCATTATTGTAACAGTAATGACAGGTTTTGTCATAGTCATGATAGAAGTAAGAATAGAGGTTTCATAATGCTAACTAAGGGCTAAATGTTAGAGATTAAATGAAATAAGGTAAAAAATTGAAGGCAACATGTCAGTTTGAACCTGTTACCTCTGGTTTACTGGCTAAGCGCCTAATGGTCAAGAAGCTTCTTGCAGGTGGTGCATAGACGTGCTGTTGGAAATTAAGTGTAATAAAATTCAATAATTGTAAGCAATGAATCAAATATGTGGTCTGCTTGTAGTCAAAGTAATAGTAATGTAAATTGCAATTGCAGGAGAGCTGAATTGTAAGGTGAAGTTCTCTGTTTACTGATCCGTCTATGTTCTTACTGTCACCTATGGCCACAAACTGGGTAGAGACTGAAAGAACAAGATCGTGACATGGATACAGGCGGTCAAAATGAGTTTTCTCTTTGGGGGAGATGGACTTTCCCTTAAAGATAAAGTGAGAAGTACAGTTATCCAGAAGAAACTCTGAGTAGAGCCGCTGCTCCGCCGCATCAAGTTTGAGGTGTTTCTGGCATGTGCAACTGGGAAGAGGCCCAGAGGAAGACCCTTGGGAATGTCTTGGGGTCATCAGAAGAAATGGAAGGGTGACTAGTAAAAGAGATGTCTGGGCCTCCCTGCTCAAGTACTGGTAGGTCTGCAGGTCTGCTTAAACTTGCTGCTGCCCCTGCAACCTGACTCCGGAACAAATGGAAGATGAATGAATGGATAGAAATTCCAATAGTTACAGATAGGGTTGCTATATTTTGTCAGTTCTGGTTCTGAACTAGAACCAGGTATGGTTTGGGTAGGGTTCTTGGGGTCCATGCTGAGTTCTTAGGGTCCATGTAGGACTTCTTTAGTTGTTTTTTTATTAACTTTTATTTAATCAGGGAAATCCCATTGAGATCAAGTCAATTCAGTTTATTTATATAGTGCCACAGAGGTAATCTCAGGGCATTGAACAGAAACATTTATATATATATTAAAAGTAAGTTAACATTATTTATCTGAAGAGCAGACTGCTTTGAGTCTAACTTCATTGCAGACTCTCATTCTGAGCAAGCATGAAGGCAACAGTGGAAAAGAAACCTCCCTCATGAGGAAGAAACGTCCAGCAGGACCAGGCTCAGGAAAAGAGGCCATCTGCTTTGACCGGCTGGGTTTGAGAGGACAGGAAGTAGGAACAGATACACAATGGCAGGTCGAGAATCACATGTTAAGATGTAAATAATTTCAAATGAAAACTATTCATTTGAAACAATTCATTTTAATATTAAAACCACATTGTTCCTTCTGAAGTCCACAACCATCTCCTTCGTCTTCTTCACATTGATGTGAAGGTTATTCTCCTTGCACCAGCTCTCCAGGTGTTCCACCTCCTGCGCGTAGCTGGACTCATTGTTGTTTGCAATGCGTCCCACCACCGCTGTCTCATCTGTAAACTTTACAGTGTGACAGCCTGGATGGGTAGGTGCACGGTCATATGTGAGCAGAGTGAACAGGAGAGGGCTCAGCACACTGACCTGAGAGGAACCAGTGCTGAGGGTTATGGTGGAGGAGGAGAAGTCATGGATCCTCACTGACTGCTGTCTGTTTGTTAAGAAGTCTAGAACCCAGTTGCAAATGGAGGGGCCTAGTCCTAGGATGAGTAACTCGTACATCAGGGTTTGGCGGATCATGGTATTGAAGGCAGACGTGAAGTCCACAAAGAATATACGGATGTAGGAGTCCTTTTGCTCTAGGTGGGTGAGAACAGTATGGACCACAGAGGAAATGGCATCATCTGTAGATCTATTCTCGCGGTTTGCATACTGGTGAGGATCCTCGTTGATGTTCACGGATGTTCACGGACCACAAGGGAATACAAAGACGCAGAACTTTAGGAACACCAACGAGACCTAATGATGAACACCTGGGGTGATTGGGATTTGGGAACAGGTGAAACGGGAGGGAAGAAACACTGAGGAAGGCAGGAAACACAAGTACATAAACACAAGAATCTAAGAAATTGACACAAGACAGAACACAGATTCTCACAGTTCTCTTCATGCATTTACATAAAACAGAAGTCAGCACCACCAGCCTAATCCTGACCAGATCCTTTAGGTCTTTTAGTTGGGTCTTTTTAGGGATGGGATGATCACTGATTCCTTCCATTGGTTGGGGACAGAACCAGAATCCAGAAGCTGCTGAAACAGTCTTGTGAGAGGTCCACTTAACTGACTGCAGCAGTTCTTCAACAGATCAGCACACTGCCTATGAGCCTGTCTGAGTCAGTCAACCTTTGCAGGTTGAGTTTTTGGAAAATGGACGTCGCCAAGTGTTTGTTGATAATGATATGTGGGTGGAGGGAGCTCAGCAGTGGATAGGTCCAGGTTGATTTATTGTTGTTGTTGAACCAGGTGATGAACTTGATCAGATGATCTACAAGAGAAGCAGGATCTGAACAGATGACCGCTGCAGACTTTGCGACTCAACCCATCATAGACTTGATGGTCTGCCATGCCTCTCTTACGTTTCTGGATGTTAGTTTATTCTCCACCCGATTCTTATACTGTAGTTGATTATGGCCAATATGGCCTTTGTCCTGTATACTTTTTCCAGCTCCCTCATCCTAGATTTGTCCCCTTTAAGGTAAGCCTGTTGTTTTTTTTTTTGCTTGATGAGACAGGTTCACATCCTTTGTAAAAAAAAAAAAGATTAATGGGATAGATGGTTATAGTTTTATTGGAAGTGACAGTGTCCTCACAGATCAATCTACTGTATACTGGTGGTAGATTTGAAACATCAGTCAAAAGATGTGGATCATCGCTGTGTTTGCTAAAAAACAAGTCCCAGTCAGTAAAATTGAAGGAGCCTTTGAGTGTTTCAGTTGCTTCTTCATTTCAAACCTTAACTGTTTTTAACAGGTTCACCAGTTTTTAGTTGCGGTCTGTATTTGGGTAATAACAGAATTTCCTTTTTGGTGTGTGGTTGCTTCCAGGCTTAAGAAAGTTTCCTTTCGAAAATTGGGTTGCACGTCAAAACCCAAGATTGCCACCACCATAAATATGTAAACCTTGTGAGCTGGATAACTTGAAAAATAAGCAGCAGGCCAATTTTCTTTTTTGTGTGTGGCTGTATCTAGGTGTATTAAAGTTTCATATCGAAAACGGGGTTGCCACGTCAAAATCCAAGATGGCCTCCACCTTATTTATGTAAACCAGCCATCTCTATCATTTGAGGAAACTATGCTTTCTAGTTTTAATACCACTTAAAATTATAGTTTTCCCAAATGAATGTGGTGGCTAAATATTTATCTGTGGAGGCCAATGCCACAATTGGCCACCCTCTGACTCCTCCATTGCACCTGGTGGTGGATTAATGCACCCTCCACTGTCCAGGATCTGTTACTCTACACTGTCTCTGAAAACAAAAAACCTCACTCTGTTCTTCTACACAGTGTAACTCCTATCCACTTGAATATTTTACACCAAAACATTAAGGTTTACTTGCATTCCCTGTTCAATTCCAGTCCAGAAAAACACTCATCATGAAAACTAGAAACATTCACTATTCAATTCAGCAATGGGCAACATTGGAGTACTGCTTGTTCAGTCTTGAGAATTAGTAAGATATTTGAATAATGCTTAAATTTTAAACCATTGCATGTTTTACCCATTGTTTGTATTTTATTCATTGCTTGTGTTTTTAACTGTTGCCCATGTATTTTTTTACTGTTTGTGGTTTTGCACTATTGCTTGTGCTCTCTTAAACATTGTGTTTCAGGCACTGTTAAGATCACTATTATGCTATGCACTTGCACTTTAAAATAAAATAAAAAACATTATGTGGTTATAACATTGTTTTGTCATATATTGCAATTTATTTGGAATATTCTCTTATGATGTGGGCTGTTGACCCCTTAGCCAGGTCACTCTTGTAAAAAAGTAGTCTTGATCTCAATGGTTTTTTTACCTGGTTAAATAAAGGCGATGTTGGTGATGATGATAATTAAAAAATTATAAATGAAAAGATGCACTAATGTCAGTTTTGTTCCAGAACAAATATCAGAACTACTTTTTAAAAATGTTTAAAACAAATCCAAACATGATATGAGTGAAATCTTTCAGGATTGTTAAATCAGTGGGATTCAAAAGCAACCTGTTTCCTATATCACTGCAAACTTTTTTCTTTTTAAATAATGTAACATGTTTAAATAAATTCACTTGATTTAGGCACTCAGATACATTTGATGGATTTTTAGTTTTTCCCTGTGTCTGACTGTGTGCCTGTGTGGATATACAGGCCTGGTCCAGATGGAAGACACTGTCCAGAGTCCAGTGTGGAGCATAAGGCCTGTGAGGGCCACCCATGTCCCAAAGGGGCCCCTGGATTCAGAGACCTGCAGTGTTTTTCCTTAAACCGACATGTTGGTGTGCTAACAGCTGTTATTAATGAAGGTCTCACACACACACACACACATTTTGATAAATAATTTCTTCTGTCACAGCCTAACAGCTGATTTACCATGATGGTTTGGACACACTGGGTTTCAAAAGTATTAATATCCTCAGTTTGTTTTGTTTTTTTTCTTTTGCCTTAAAACCTGGAATGTACCGTAATGGGATTTTTAATTTTATTAAAAGCAACACTTCTCCAAAACACTTTAGATTAATGAAATTAAATGGGGAGAAAAAAAAACAACTTAAAATGGAAAAGTGGCGTGTGCATATGTACTGTATATTCACTCCCTTTGTTTGAAGCCCCAACCGTTCTCTTCAGACCCACATAATCAGTCAGATTCACTTGAAAGCAATATGACAGTCAAATCATATCAGTATATATCTACTTGTTCTGACAGAACCCAGAATCAGTCCAACAGCTCTAAGTGTTTGTGCTACCACCAAGCAGGAGACAAACTCCATTAAATCTATTTTCATCCATCTCTAACCATTTTTTGTTTGTTTCCGGGTCACAGAGAGCTGGTGTCTATCGCCAGTGGTCACTGTGTGAGAGGCAGGATATACTTGGACAGGTCTCTATCCAGTCCCTCACAGGGACACATAAAGACAAACGACATACAACCATTAACACTTTCACTCACACTTAGGGAAAAAACAGTTACCACTGAACCTAAAATGCATGATTTTAGTCTGTGGGAGGAACCCAGAGTAACAAGAGAAAACTATGGAGAACATATTAAAGGTCTTCAGGTCTCTCTTGTAAATGAGTCCCCGAGGCTCAATGGGATTAACCTGCATAAATAAAGGTTGAATGAATATAAACTCTACACAGAAAGGCTGGGAGGCAAGCCTGTGACCTTCTCACTGAGGGGTGACTGTGCTAACAACTGTGCCATTATTAGGCTATGGAAAAAGAATGACACCACAGCAAACATGCCAAAAGAGGTTCATCCAACTAAACTCACAGAGCGGGTAAGTTCAAGTTCAGTAACTTAATTGTCATTCCATTAGAAAGCTCAATGTGCAAATTTGAATAAGATTATTAGCAATATTCAGAAAATTATCCAGGAGGCCAAGGATAACCTTGATGGAGCTGGGAGCTTGGAATTTCCTTCCCAAAAATGTAGAAGAAGCAGTTGTGGTCAGATGAGACCAAACATGAAGGACAACAGGGCTATGGTCTGAGGCAAATTTATCACCTCTCATCATGCTGTGGGGATTTTCACCAGCAGAGACTGGAAAACTGGTCAGTGTTTAACCCTGGAAGAGGTCCAACTTTCCTAGCTGGACTTACTGAAAGTAAAAGTTTTGATTCAACTTTTATTTAAACTTATAAGTCACATTACCATCCCATACCATACCACTTTATTTATAAAGCACTTAAAACAGCTACAAAGCCAATCAAAGTGCTGTACAGACAAAACAACAGGTAACACACAAAGCAAAATACAAAATGAGGTAAATCAGAATATAGACAAAAAACGATGCAGATAATGATGACATTGAACCTCAGACTCTTTTGCAAATGAGACCTGTTTGGACAGACAATAAAAAGTGGTGAAAAATAACACATTGGGTTTGGAGACAAAAAAAAAAACCTAAAAAAAAAGAAAAGTGCTATGTATTGCCATCAATGTTTGCTTCTATCCACCTTATTCCTAGCCCCCATGCTGCCTTGCGTGAATTATGGGTGCAACTTCCGGCACGGACCAGAACTTGTGTTTGTTTATGTGCAAACAGTAGGAGCTAATGTAATTACTCCAAACATTGTAGATTTAATTTAAACATATAGGAACACCATCTGTCAGACCTCAAACAGGACAAAATAATCATACCGCTGCCTACTGCGTACAAGGGATGGGAGGACCTGTAGAAGTGGCAGCAAATTCCACCTACTAGCATATTTAGCTAATTTAACTGACTTAATTGGTTGCTTCTGACAGTGAAGCAATGAACACCCTGAAAAGCTCTGAGGCGTATTAGTATCTACACAGTGATAAGGTCGGTCACGTTTTGTTAATGAGACACAGTCTTATTTACGTTAAAGCAGACAAGCCCAGCCAAAGCCTTAAAGTTCTCCATCACCGAGTTTGGGTTAATTGCAAAGAAAATTGTAATACCAATGACCAACAAATACTATAATGCTTTGCCCTTCATACACTTGAAATCATACCTGATTCGGCATCTCCTCTCCGGTTGTTTATGAGTAGGATGCAAGTTTTCCTTCGTCAGCCATTTGTCAACCAAGTGAAATGAGCACACATACAGCATTTTGGGTGGTCTCTTCAAGTTCAGATATTTCAGGTACATTTTTCTTAATTCCTCATCTGTAGGTAGGCTATTGAAACCATACTACTTTTCACAGGAACATGCTTTGTTTTGGGTCTGTGTTCAAAACACTGTTGTAGCCACTGATAGTTGTTTGTGCAGCCACAAACAACACAACAGGTACCTGAGCTCTGCAAGTTTATTTTAGTAAAATATGGTTGTTAAATAAATGTAAACAAAACAAAAACTGTGTTTTATCTGCCAAACTGAATGCAAATTACATTAAAAAAAAAAAAAACACGTTGCATGCTCCACCACCATGTTAGCCAATGCTTTCTGCTACTTCTGGTGTCTGACAGGAAGTTGTATCCATAATAATTTATACAGTAGTGCCCCCAGGAATAAGGAGGATAGGCTACAATGATGAAATTGTGCTCTGCATTTAACATATCACATGTGAGAATCACCCAACTGGAGCAGTGGGCAGTTATGCAAGTGCCTGAATAATAGTTAGGGATTAGATGTCATGCTCAAGGACACCAAGACATGTGGGCATGGCAGGGAGTTGAATCAGTGACTTTCTGGTCCCAAGTTGGTTGCCCTACCATAACCATCCGAGTGGTACAACCGCTCCAGTACTATGGAGTTCCATCTGTCTTCTCGTTTGACAGATTAGTTTTTGTTCAGATGTAAAGAGTAAAAACACACTTGCTTGAGCTTACTGGTCTGATGGGCTGGAGGGTTTTCGCAAAACTCCAGAACGAATTAAAAAAAAAATTAAAACAATATTTTGGGTGTACTAATGTAGGAAAATGCCCTTCCTCCAAAAGACCAGAAACATGCATATTAGATAAATTTATGACTAGATAAATGATAGACTAGACATCTGTCCAGGTGTTCCCATGATGTGTTTGAGACCTGTCCAGGGTGTCCTTGTGATGGCCTGGAGACCTATCCAGGGTGTCCCTGTGATGGAATAGACACCCTTCCAGGGTGTTCTTGTCATGAACTAAAACCCGTCAAGATGATACCCGTGATGGATTGGAGACTTGTCCATTGGGTTCCTCTGATAGCCTGGAGAAGTGCCTAGTGATCCAGTGATGAACTGGAGACCTGTCCAGGTGTCCTGTGATGAACTGGAGCCATTTCCAGGTGATCTCCATGAAAAACTGGAGACCTGTCCAGAGGGTCCTTGTGATGGACTGGATACCAGTCCAGATGTCCCTGTGATGGCCTGAAGACTTGTCCTGGTAACCCAGTGATGAACTACAGACCTGTCCAGGGTGTCTTTGTGATTGACTAAAGACTTATCCAGTATGTCTTCATGATGAACTAGAGACCTGTCTAGGTGATCTCTGTGATGGTCTGGAGACCTGACCAGGTGTCCTGTAGTGGACTGGAGACCTGTCCAGGTGTCTTGAGATGGACTGGAGACCTGTCCAGTTGCCCCAATAATGGCCTGGAGAACTGTCCTAGTGATCCAATGCTGAACTTAAGACTTGTTTAAATGGCCTGTGATGGGCTGGAGACATGTCTAGGTGTCTTGTGATGAACTGAAGACCTGCCCGAGTGTCCTGTGATGGACTGGAGACCTATCCAGGGTGTCCCTGTGATGGAATAGACACCCTTCCAGGGTGTTCTTGTCATGAACTAAAACCCATCAAGATGATACCCGTGATGGATTGGAGACTTGCCCATTGGGTCCCTATGATAGCCTGGAGAAGTGCCTAGTGATCCAGTGATGAACTGGAGACCTATCCAGGTGTCCTGTGATGAACTGGAGCCATTTCCAGGTGATATCCATGAAAAACTGGAGACCTGTCCAGAGGGTCCTTGTGATGGACTGGATACCTGTTCAGATGATCCCTGTAATGGACTGGAGACTTGTCCAGATGTCCCCGTGATAGCCTGGAGACTTGTCCTGGTAATCCAGTGATGGACTACAGACCTGTCCAGGGTGTCTTTGTGATGGACTAAAGACTTATCCAGTATGTCTTCATGATGGACTGGAGACCTGTCTAGGTGATCTCTGTGATGGACTGGAGACCTGTCCAGGTGTCTTGAGATGGACTGGAGACCTGTCCAGTTGCCCCCATAATGGCCTGGAGAACTGTCCTAGTGATCCAATGCTGAGCTTAAGACTTGTTTAAATGGCCTGTGATAGGCTGGAGACATGTCTAGGTGTCTTGTGATGAACGGAAGACCTGTCCGAGTGTCCTGTGATGGACTGGAGACCTGACCAGGTGCGCCCATAATGATCTGGAGACCTGTCTAGGTGGCCTGTGATGGACTAGAGATTTGCCCTGATGATCCAGTGATGGACTAGAGACCTGTCCAGGGTGTTCCCCATGATAGACTGGAGACCTGTCAAGGGTGTCCCCGTGATGGACTAGAGACCTGTCCTGGGTGTTCTTATAATGGACTGAAGACCTGTACAGGTGATCCTTGTGGTGGACTGGAGACCTGTCAAATTGTGTCCCATGATGGCCTGGAGACCTGTCCTAGTGATTGAGTGCTGGACTGGAGACTTGTTCAAATGTCCTATGATGTATTGGAGACCTGTCTAGGTATCTTGTGATGGACTAGAGACCTGTCCATGTGTCCTGTGATGGCCTGGAGACCTGTCCTAGTCATCCAGTGCTGGACTGGAGACTTGTTCAGATGTCCTATGATAGACAGATTCAGATTTCAGTCAGTCTTTAAAACTTGGCACAGCACAGAATCAGCTC